TTGGAGGTCGTCTAACCACACAGCGAACTCTATGGGGCGACCGTCAGGCTCGAACGCGAGAACGTTAGGCGTCGTCATAATGGCAGCAGGCAAAGGCAGTAGGCAGTAGGCAGTGGACAAGAGGCAGTAGGCAGCAGGCAGGAGGCAGCAGGCAGTAGGCAGTAGGCAGTAGCGGCCGCACGTGAGCTCCTAAAGCAGTGCGTTAGGCAGCAGCGGGCCGCTCAGGTGGCCGTCGTGACGCGTGGGCTGCAGACGCGGCGCGTGGCTCGACGCGCGGCTCGGCGGCGGGCCGCGCTGGCGACAGACGCGGCGCGCAGGGCGACGGCGGGCTGCACGCGACGGCGGGCTGCGTGCGGCGGCGGGCTGCGCGGGCTCGACGCGGGATGCGCGGGCGACGCAGGCGCGAGCAGCCGAGGCGCGCGCGAAAAAGCGACGCGCGCGCGAGCAGCCTAGGCGCGCGCGAAAAAAAGGTGGCGCGCGCTCGCGAGCAGCCGAGGCGCGCGCAAGCAGCAGGCAAGGCAGGCAGGCAGTAGGTAACAACGGTACGGGTGGGCCCTATTCTTAGGTCCTAGAGACCTCCTGCTCTAGATACCATATCGAGACTAAGGAGACTAAGGCAAGGGAATGAGATTGGACTATTGAGAGTTTGGTACAAACAATATAACCTGTGGGGTTGTACCCCACAGTGAGTACCCCACTAAAGCCTACCCAAACTACAACATATGACTATATGTTTGACAATCATCTACATCCTCATGTCCACCAAGTAGGGCGCATCCGCCCACGGAGCATCCCACCCGACTTCCTCATCAAAATCATCCCGCTCTACCCAAACAACGTCTGGTCCCCTCATCATAGACGCCGCGCGTAACAAGATCACACGCGCCTGAGCTCGCTGCAAAGCCACCCCTATGGCTGCTCGAAGTGATCCGAGAAGATACGCAAAAAAACCCTTTCCCGTGGCCCTCGCCGCTCCTTTCGTCTTTGCTACCTCAATCTGCGCGTCGCCCTGTTTCTTAAGCCATCTTCCAAAGCTCCCCCCCAGACATCCCCAGGTCTCTGCAATGAGAGGTGTGAACTGTACTCCCCTATGCCACTGCAATAGAGATTTGTAATCCGCCGCCTTCCGCTTTTCCCTCTCCCTAGCGGCAAATCCCACCTTGCGACCGATATGTCCATGGTGCTGTGCTGACAGGGAGATAGGGTCTACAACACTAACCTCTAGCGCATGCTCCTCCCCCTCTCTCAGTCTCCGAACCGCCACATCCACTTTCTTACCTGGCAGCAACGTGTCATCCTCCATAGTCACAACCCCACCCGCCCCTTTAGCTATCTTCGCCACCACGAACTTAACCGCGTCGTGAACCCGAGAAGGTGCATACTGATGCTTGCAGCGAAGGGCATGATGGGGATCAGAAGGATCAACAAACTCGACCCCGCAGACGCACTTGCCGGCTACTATCAGCTGCTGGATAGGGAGGCCTAGGCGCATGGCCGCATAGATGCTCCACTCGGCTGCGGTGAAGGTAGCCTCGTCATGCGATGGAACGGCAGAAACCCACGCTCCCGCCCCCAGGCCCTGAAGGGATGTCAAACGGGCCAAGGTGGCGTCGTCGTGGGCCATGCCTCGAAGAGACTGCAGGCTCTCGACCGCTAGGCGACGGTGTTGCGTAGGGAAAAGCAGATGTGGGGGGTCAGCGATACACAAGGCAAGGGGCGGCATCTCCTGCCGGACTGGCTGTGGAAGTAGCTCCAACGCTCTCGAGAACCAGGGATCCAACAACGTCGTAGCCTCGGGTGTGCGGAAAAACTCCTCAAACATCCGCTCCTCTCCTGCCACCCCCATTCGCGCCACATCGCTCGCTGCCTGGCACCAGCCACATGCGTACGACAAAGGACTGAGGTCAGCTGCAGAACGTATGCCAAATCCCCCCAGCCTGGCAGGAAGGTGTAGCTGCAGGCGGGCCATCTGCGACTTTCCCGCATCGTGATCCCAAGTACCGGGTGGAAACAGCTGCTCAAAACAATCCTCCAGGCCCGTGTCCCAGTCTCGGAAGGCCTCTACTACCCCTGGCCGCGGGGGCATCGTCCGCGTGAGATAGATCGGGCGCGCTGACACCGCGATCGCCAGCAAGTGAGACGCAATCTGTGGGTGGTCAAGCAGAGGAAGCCATGGGACGGGCGCCTGCAGCTCCGTCAGCCTCGCCCGAAGGCGAGCCACCTCCCAGTCCTCCTCCCCAATAGGAACGCCTTCTACAGTGAGCCCCGTCCAGGTTTGTTGCATGCCGGGCGGAATTGTCTCGTTCATCCCCTCTCCCTCCTGGTCCCCCCCTCGCTCCCATAGCTTGCACTTATGCGGCTGCACCTGCAGAAAAAGCCCACCCAACCGTTCCCGCAAGACCCCATAGGCTGCCAACACCCGCCCCCTGGGCCCCAAGATATATGTATCATCGGCGTAGCTGAGGAAAAGGAGGATGGAGAATTCCCACTTGGTCGGCTCCATAACCAGCTGCTGGGTGAACGCGAACAGAAACGGCCCCAAAGGGTCCCCCTGCCTCAAGCCCCGTTCGGAAGCCAAAGCTTCGACGAAGGGGCCCGCGCGGAGGTAGAGGTCGCTAGAAGTGCCGTAGAAAACGCGCAAGAATGGAATCAGCCCTGCGAACGGCGACTCTCGGAGGCCCTCAAACATTTCCCCCCGATGGAAGGAGTTGAAAGCGTTCGCTATGTCAATTTGAAGTATAGACGTTTAGGAGTATATGTCAGAAACAGCAGGCAGAAGTTAGAACAAGAAAGAGGGGTTTGGACTAGCAGCAACAGGATACATATAGGAAACCCTAAATTGGGCTGTACTCGCTATAGAGTACCCCACTGCAGGCTAGACAGATATAACATTCTGACACACCCCCATAGTCAAAGTGGGGTATAATCAGCACAGCAAGCAGTCATAGAGCAGGTTCACAAGTACAAGCAAAGCTAGAGGCATTCACAAAGGGCAAGTGAGGAGGAGGAGGCGGAACTGTGAGAGGAGAGGAGATAGGAGGCGACGGCTGAAGCTGCAGACACACGGACAACAGGAGCGGCGCGCACGGTGGCTACCGGAGCAAGGGCCCCGGACTACAGGAGTAACTGGCTCCGCGGCTAACTCTGAGCGGCATGAGCAACGGACCCACGGGCGACAGGCGCAGCAGGCTCTCTGGGCTACCAGCGGCAGAGCCCCGGACTACAGGTGCTGCGGACGACAAGACGGCTGCCTCCACTCAACCTCCCCCAACTGTCCCACCCCCCTTTCACACACCCCTTGCTGCACCCCTAGCTCCACTCCCACGTCACCCCCATAACGCCACTCCCTCGGCTCCCACACACCCACCCCCCTCAGCGGCAGCTGTAGTAGTGGGAGACGGAGGAGGAGGAGGAGCAGGGGACGGCTCACACACCCGCCACCCCCATACCCGCCACCCCCATACCCCCAACGCAGGGCAGAAACGCGGGCAGCAGCTGGGGCGGCGTGTGAGCGGAAGCGGGTCGGCGCGCGGGCCCACAGGGCGCCTCGACGAGCGACGGGAGGGGGCGACGCGCGGGCCCCCAGGGCGCCGCGACGGGCGACGGGAGGGGTGACGCACGACCCCCCAGGGCGCCGCGACGGGCGACGGGAGGGGCGACGCGCGGCCCCCCAGGGCGCCACGACGGGCGACGGGAGGGGGGGGCGACGCGCTGGCCCCCAGGGCGCCGCGACGGGCGACGGGCAGGGCAACGCGCGGCCCCCTAGGGCGCCGCGACGGGCGACGGCCAGGGCAGCGCGCGGGCCCTCGGGGCGCCGCGTGAGGCAGTAAACCGCCGCGCGCCCCGAGTGCGCAACGGACAGAAAACCGCCATGCGCCCCGAGCGCTTGGCGGGAAGAAAAAAAACGTCGCGCGCCACGGGGCGCGCGACAGACAGGACAGCAGCGGAAGCAAGTGGGCCCACAGGCCAGGAGCGTAGTCGCTCTGATAGCATGTCAGAAACAGCAGGCATAAGTTAGAACAAGAAAGAGGGGTTTGGACTAGCAGCAGCAGGATACATATAGGAAACCCTAAATTGGGCTGTACTCGCTATAGAGTACCCCACTGCAGGCTAGACAGATATAACATTCTGACAGTATATTATGGGGAATACAGTATAGAAGGACATGTAGGAGTAGATCTCATTGGTGTTTGCATGATGTTAGTTTGCATAAACACGTTCTGTGGCACAATCACACACAAAAGTAGTGTTCTGGTGTTAACGAGTATTTTTCCAAGCTGGCAAATGTCGTGGCTTATGGAATGCAGATGTGGATGTACAGTCGCTTCCCGAAGTCGCCAGAGTGGAGATACACAAGAACCAGCCACGTCACTCTCCCAACCATTTGCCACGTCAAAAGCTTGTTTTTTCGGAAGAAGGGAGGGGAGGGTGAGCAAGAGCAGCAGAGCCGCTGATGGCCAAATTTATCCAAATCTGCCCCAACATCAGGTACCGACGGTACTGTACTGGTTCCAGCTCATCATTCGTATCTCCAGCAGTCACCGTAGAGAAGGGACTAGAAACATGCTTCGCTATAGTCTTGTTTGGGCTTCCCGAGGCTGTCCTAACGGATTCCCTCCCACATTTCGAGATTTCGGTTGCCGTGTGATTGAGTCTCTCCTCTCCTCTTGACAATCCCAAGGCTGTTTGCTTGATAAGTGACGGGCTTACGCGGTTCATGGTAGCTTTATCCGCCGCCTGATCCTAGTCACTTCCCTTCCCTTCGCGTTATTCCGTCGACGAATCTCGCTTCAGCATTTCGAATCCAATACAAGATCTGGTAGCGCGTTGCTTCATGAGCTTTAGCGCCTAACCGCGGTTTACCCTAAGCACGGCCCAGTCGGATAGCAATCTCGCCCACAGGACACGTTTTGTGAGCTCCGCTTATTCTCTCGTCGTCTTAGCCCCTCCTGCCAGACATTCCGTAACAGAGTTCCATTTACTTCTAGCGTCAGCCAGTCATGGGGACCGCAACGTTGGCTTCGCCGCTTGCGCGGCTCCACGCTACCGTGGCTCTGTCGTCTGGATCCGAGAGACGAACGATAAGGTATTGTTTTTTTAGTCGACTCAAATGTCACCTCGCTTGCTCGACTCCACGCTCCGTTTTCTGGTTCTGAGAGACTAACGCTCAGGTACGTACCGAAAGAACGAGTTTTGAGACGTCTCAGAACTCGCTCGCACGCTACGTGGCTCTGTCGTCCTGTTCCGAAAGACTGGCGCTCAGGAATTGTATCAAGGAACGTTCGTTTCCGAGAACGTACCGAAAGAGAGGCGTTTGAAAAAATAGCAGGCGTCCAGTTCTCAGGGGCGATATCTCGGGTACTTGAACCAGCAGCAAAGGTTTTTTTTATATGTATTTTTCGAAGCGTCAAAGTCGAAGCATCGGGTGTTGTACCAGCACGAAATGTGTGGTTCTGTTTTTATATGTTCTTCTCGTGTGCATTCGGATCCGTGCTATCCCGCCATCTTCCTTTCCCCCATTCCGCTCCCCTCCCCTCTCCCCTCCTTCCCTCCCCTCCCCCCCTCTCCCCCCCCCCCCTCCCCCCCCCCACCTCCACCAGCCTGTCATCCGTCGCCTGTTCGTCGTCTCAGGCGTCGTTCTTCAGCGGAAGCAGCGGGACAAGAAGCGCCTTCCTCTCCGCCTCCGGTCGTGGGGCGGAAAGGCGGAGGGGGAATGCGCTCGTGGTCCGCGCAGACGCGGTGAGTCGGGGATTGAGTGCGGTGCGATGCGGCGGTGTGCGTCTGAGATGAGTGGAATGAGAAAATCGTAGGTGGGGGGCAGAGGTCAAATGTGATTTGATGCGATGGGAGTCGGTGGTGTGAAAGTGAGTCAGACCATTACCGAGTTGGGTCACCACCAATGCCGACCACTACCAACCGAGTCAGACTCCTTCCCGAATCAAAGCGCCATTCTCTGAAATCTTAAATTGAGAATCATTTGAGCTTGCTGAAATTTGACTACGGATTTCGTGGTCCATCACAAGCGCAAACAAATCTGCAACGAAACAGTTGAAAACGAACGTGTGAGGGAACATGAAGATGATAGGTCGAGCCTAACGCGTGGGGATCGCATGCTTGTTGTCGCATGCCGTCTCTTACAGTTAGCTTCAAGATTCGCGAGTTATTTGTGCTCGTTACACTGCAATGGTGCAGGGCTAGTGTTCGCGTGAGAAGAGGTTTGATTCAGTGCTGGGGTTAGCGAACGGCAGTGTCTTACTGTATATGTGTTTTTGTGTCTGTCTGTGTGTCTGTGTGTCTGCGTGTATGTGTGTATGTGTGTATGTGTGTGTGTTTTATAAACGTTTGCTGCAATGCAGGACTACTATTCAGTGCTGGGAGTGGAGAAAAACGCGGACAAGTCCCAAATAAAGAGCGGTACGTACAAACAGCACAGAACTTCACTGCACCGCACTGCATTGCCGGCTGACCACACTGCATCTCACTGCACCGCACTGCACTGCGCTTCTGGTGACTTTTGAGTCGACTGATAAGTCACTTGCAGTGGAGAGAAACGCGGAAAAGTCAGAGTTAGACTCATTCTCTTGGCAAATCAAAGGGCCTCGTGCGCTTCTCAGCATTTGCGCTTTATTAGCTTGTCTCGGCACTATTACCTTGCCTTTCCGCTCCCTCACGTTAACCGCCATCCCCGCTTCCCACTCCCATCCCCAACCCCCCCATCCCCACCCCACTTCCCCTCCCCCTCCTCTCCCATCTTCTCCCGCCCTCCCACCCGCCCATTTCCACTCTCGTTCAGCTTATCGGCGCTTGGCGCGCAAGTATCATCCGGACGTGAACAAGTGAGTAATAGGGCGTGTTCAGGTTCATTCGGGTACGTTCAGGGGCACTCAGGAAATTAGGCCTTAAAAACACGTCTGGGTGTTTTGAAAGTATATGGGTGACGTTTTAGGTTCCCAACGGTTTATGTTATAAGCTTCATGTGTTCATCTTTTCCCATCGCTCCTTTGATAAAAGTGAAGTTCTGAGGCGTCTCATGTGTTCATCAAAACTTCACTTTTATCACGTCTTCATGTGTTCATCTTTTCTATCCATCGCTCCTTTGCGTTGCTACACTGAACAGGGCACCAGAGGCGGAGTCCAAGTTCAAGAAAATCAGTAACGCGTATGAGGTAAATTCCCCCTGCCTAGAGTTGACTTTTGAGTCGACTCAAAAGTCAGTAACGCGTATGAGGTAAATTTCCCCCTGCCTGAAGTCCCTCAACATGAGAAGTCTGTGACAGTCTTGTGAATTCTGTCTTTTTTTTCAAAGCAGTTTTCTTGTCCTGTCCTTTCCTCTCTTTTCTTCCCTACCCCCTCACTTCCCCTCTCCCTCTCTCTTCCCCTTCTCCCCATGCGCGTCCCCTTCTCAATTCACCTCTCCCCCGCGCCACCAGGTGTTATCAGACGATGAGAAGCGCTCGCTGTACGACAGATTCGGGGAGGCGGGTGTCAAGGGCGGCGCTGGTTCGGTACGTCTCTCTTTCTTGACTCCTATCTTTGCTCTCCTCCCTCCTATCGGCCTTTCACTTCTCTGCAATCGCCCTCCCCCACATTCCCCTCCCCCACATAGCCCTTCCCCATATCCTCCCCCTCTCCCTCCCTCCCCCCCCCTTTCCCCCCCCCTTCCTCCCTCCCTCCCACGTTGCCCTCCCCCACATTGCCCTCCCCCACATTGCCCTCCCCCACATTGCCCACGCCCACATTGCCCCCCCACACATAGCCCAAACAGTCGCCCCCACTGTGCTGCCCCCCGCCATGCCGCCTTTGTTTGCTTATCTCCGTTTCCCAATGTTTTTGTTCTCCTGTCCACCTGCCTCCTCTGCTCCCTGCTACCTCATGCTCAACCGCTCTTAACACCTGCCTCTACCCCCTCACCCCGACTCCAACCCCACCCCCATGAACCACCCCACCCCCCCATCCACCCCACTCCCCGCTTTTCCAACCCCTCCTATTGTCTTGCAGGAGTTCAACAACCGGTTCGACCTCTTTGAGACGTTCTTTGGAGGGCGATGAATTGGCTTGTGCGGAACGGGATGCTGCAACTCTACCTTCCTCCTCTGTTTCCTCCCTTCCTGCCCTCCGCCCCTCATTTTCTTCTCAGGAGTTCAACAACCCGTTCGACCTCTTTGAGACGTTCTTTGGAGGGCGGATGGGTGGAATGGGCGGAATGGGAGGCATGGGGGGAATGGGAGCTCGGCGCACAGCCCCCGTGCAAGGGGACGATGAGAGGTGAGATGCGGGAGAGGGCAACGAATGGGGGAAGGAGGTCTGACTGGCACTGGCATGGGGGACATGGGGGGCATGAGGGGCATGGGCGGCATGGGAGGCATGGGCGGCATGGGGGGCATGAGATGCATGGGCGGCATGGGGGGCATGGGCGGCATGGGGGGCATGGGCGGCATGGGCGGCATGGGCGGCATGGGCGGCATGGGGGGCATGGGCGGCATGGGGGGAACGGGAGCTCGATGCACAGCCCCCGTGCAAGGGGACGATGAGAGGTGAGACGCATGAGAGGGTTTTACACGGGAGAGCTATATACCCCCTCCGTTCCACCCCCCACCCCTCCTCCCAGAGATTATCTGACGATTGATTTCCTCGAGGCACTGTTTGGCGCGGAGAAGCAGATAGACGTGTCGCGCATGGAGGCGTGCGGCACGTGCAAGGGCTCGGGGGCCAAGCCGGGCACCAAGGGGACTTGCCACTCACTCATCTCTCCCTGTCTCCGTCCCACTCCCCCCCCGCCCCCCTCTCTCGTTCTCCCCCACTCTCCCTCCCTCTGCCCCCCTCTGCCTTCCCCGCCCACCCTTCCCTCCTCCCGCCTCCCTCCCTCCCCCCATCCAACCAGGTACGATCTGACAATCGACTTCCTCGAAGCTGTCTTCGGGTCGGAGAAGCAGATAGACGTGTCGCGCATGGAAGCCTGCGGCACGTGCAAGGGCTCGGGGGCCAAGCCGGGCACCAAGGGGACTTGCCACTCACTCATCTCTCCCTGTCTCCGTCCCACTCCCCCCCCCCGCCCCCCTCTCTCGTTCTCCCCCACTCTCCCTCCCTCTGCCCCCCTCTGCCTTCCCCGCCCACCCTTCCCTCCTCCCGCCTCCCTCCATCCCCCCATCCAACCAGGTACGATCTGACAATCGACTTCCTCGAAGCTGTCTTCGGGTCGGAGAAGCAGATAGACGTGTCGCGCATGGAGGCCTGCGGCACGTGCAAGGGCTCAGGGGCCAAGCCGGGCACCACGCCCACCACCTGCTCCTCCTGCAACGGCCAGGGGCAGGTCGTATCTGTTGCCAACACCATTCTCATCACCCCTTCCCTTTCCGCTTCCCCTTTTCCCTCCCCTCCCTCCTTCCTCCTCCTGCCTCCCTTCTCCCTCCCCCCTCCTCCCTCCTCCCTCCGCCCTCCCTCCTCACCACCCACCCACCCCCCCACCACCAACCAGGTACGACCTGACGATTGACTTCCTGGAGGCGGTCTTTGGCTCGGAGAAGCAGATAGACGTGTCTCGCATGGAAGCCTGCGGCACGTGCAAGGGCTCGGGTGCCAAGCCGGGCACCACGCCCACCACCTGCTCCTCCTGCAACGGCCAGGGGCAGGTCGTGTCGGTGGCCAACACGCCGCTGGGCATGTTCCAGCAGGTGACCACGTGCCCGCGGTGCGGCGGCAGCGGGGAGATTTCGACTCCCTGCAACACGTGCAGCGGCGGCGCTCGCGTGCGCAAGTCCAAGCAGGTCACGCTCAAGGTACGGTGTTTCCACACCTTCCAAGGCAGTTGGTGCCAGGGTTGCGGGGGACAGTGGGAGCAGGGGCAGGTCGTATCTGTTGCCAACACGCCGCTGGGAATGTTCCAGCAGGTGACCACGTGCCCGCGGTGCGGAGGCAGTGGGGAGATCTCTACTCCCTGTGGCACGTGCAGTGGCGGCGCTTGCGGGTGCAAGTCCAAGCAGGTCACTCTCAAGGTACAGTGTTCTTCCACGCTCCAGGGGAGGTAGTCACCCTCAGTGTATTGTGTACCAGCCTCCAGGCCCTCACGGGCAGGTGGTATGTGGGGCAGGTGGCCTCTTCACTTCTCTCTCTTCTCCCACACCCCCCCAGGTGCCAGCAGGGGTGGATAACGGCAGCAGGCTGAGAGTGCGAGGGGAGGGCGACGCAGGTCTAAGAGGCGGGCCCCCAGGGGACCTCTACGTGTTCCTCTCTGTGCGCCCTGATCGCGAGCTCGAGCGCAAGGGAGCCGACATCCTCCAAACCCTCAAAGTCTCCCCCTCTCCTCTCTTCTTCTCCCCTCTGCCTTTCCTCTCCTCCCCTCTCCTCTCTTCTTCTCTTCTTTTCTTCTCCTCTCTTCCTCTCCTCTCTCCTCTCTTGCTCTCTCCCTCTTTCCTCTCTCCCTTCCATTCTCACTACCCCAGGTGCCAGCAGGGGTGGATAATGGTAGCAGGCTGAGAGTGCGAGGGGAGGGCGACGCAGGCCTAAGAGGCGGCCCTCCCGGCGACCTCTACGTGTTCCTCTCTGTCCGCCCCGACCGCGAGCTCGAGCGCAAGGGAGCCGACATTCTCCAAACCCTCAAAGTCTCCTACCTCGAAGCCATTCTCGGGACCACCAAGCAAGTCCGAACAGTCGACGGGCCGGTGGATTTGAAAATCCCTGCAGGGACGCAGCCGGGGAGTACGCTGGTGATGGCGAAGCGAGGCGTGCCGGTGCTGGGGAAACCGAACCTGCGTGGGGACCATCTGGTGAAGGTTCAGGTGGAGATTCCCAAGGCGCTTTCGGGCGAGGAGAAGAAGCTGATAGAGCAGCTGGAGGAGCTGAGCAAAGCCAAGGCCGGGTCACGGTGATGGTAGAGGAATGGTGGGATTGATGGGGGATTGATTTGGGCAGGGAATGTTTGGGAGTAGCAAGTAATGGGGGTTAGTCTGCAGGACTGGCTGTTAGGACATATTAGTTATAGCACATTGCCTCGGCTTTCTTACAAGGTACAAAGCTGGCATGCACGGATAAAAAAAAAAAAACGGTATCTGGATGGAGGGTGTGTGTCAGCATCCATATCCACCGATTGCGCTACCTACATCAATATCACTGCCAAAAAATATCCCTAGTTGTTTATCACTCCCGTTCAATTGAATACACTCCTGCTTACACCACAACACAGTCTCACAGAGCTACCTATCAGAGGTACAGGCCAGCCAGCCTGAGAGCCAGTTTTGAGGCGCCTCACAGCCAGCCAGTCATGTACCAGCCTCCGGCTGTTGCTGCTTCATGGCATACCCTGCCTACTTAGTACCCGAAGCTGCTGCTGCTGCATAATTTCTGCTCTCACTACATGTGCCTGGCGACCTCATCTCCCGTTCTGTCCACCATATCAGTGCAGTACATGCCAACTGTTTTTTGAGAATTCTCAACAAAACAGACTCAGTGCGGTACATACATGCCAACGAGGATAATTCATTCCTCTGGACTGCTCGTCCAGCTAGGCCTCTCTCACCATTTGAATTTTATGCGTAAGCCTTTTTGTACGTTGCAGCGGGTGCCTGTAAGCCACCTCCTATACACGCACAGCCCGAACATGTCAATCTCACGACGGTGAGATACGCATTGACACGAAACCTTCCCCCAGTTGCCAAACACCCGTGGCGCACATCCTGCGACTCATGCCTGTAGGCGTCTCACTGCATGCAGCCTACAGCACCAGTTTCACGACCTGTCCAGCATATCACTCAGGTACATGTTGACTAGGAACCTTCCTCTGGACTGCACGTCCAGCTGTCTCTCCCTGGCAGTGTACCGGCCCTTGTGCAGCTGGTACCGGTACGTCACCCCCAGCACCACGTAGCTCTCGCCCTCTATCTCCACTGTCTCGCCGCATTGGGTGTTCTGGAGGGGGCATTAGGAGAGCGTTTGAAGAAAGGGAGAAGGGAAAGAATATTCGTGCGAGGTGGGGGAGTGGGTGGGTCAATCTCAGCACCACGTAGCTCTCTCTCTCGCCCTTGATCTCCACCGTCTCCCCGCACTGTGTATTCTGAACAGGGGAAAGGACGGGTTTTGATATTTTATTGAATCTTAGGACACACATCTGAAGCTTTCTTCCTGTGTATTCCATCTGCGCACCACGTGTCCAACAGAAAACAGAGAGCGGACACTGCTTGAGGCGCCTCAAAAATCTGCGCACCACATGTCCAATAGACAACAGAGAGCGGACACTGCTTGAGGCGCCTAAAAAATCTGCGCACCACATGTCCAATATGAAACAGAGAGCGGACAATGGGCGGAATGAACGTTGAATGAGGAGGCAGTCACTACTTGCCACTCCTTGATACTCCTTGCTACTCCTTGCTGGACCTCCAGCGTATCGTCTATCCTCGTTATAAGCTTACCGGAGGCAGGCAATGGATTCCCAAATCCCTGGCTGGTGGAGTCACAATCTTTATCGCATACGGATGCTGTGCCACGTCAGCCTTATCTCCACCCGCACCCAGCGGTCCGCCACTCCTCCCTGCGTCGCCATTCCCGCCTCTCTCCCTGTTTCCACCTCTCTCCCTCTTCCCCTCTCCATCTTTGTTCCCCCCTCTCTCCCGCTTCCCCTCTCCATCTCTGTTCCCCCATCTATCTCTGTCGTAAGGCGACGACCTCCCGCGTCTACACTCCACTAGCAGCAACGGCGCGCGAGGAGCTGACACGGCAGCTGACGTTGCAGCAGTCGTCCTATCGTACAGCGACACGTGCCCTGAAAATGAGGCTGCTGCTGCAATGCTCGCGGCGCTACCTCCTGTTCCTGGCGCCCCTGAAATGCGTCCCGTGAAAGCAGAGTTGAGTAATGAGCAGTTGAGGACAGGGGCTCTCGGATTCGAAGCAGAGGGTAATGATTTCGGTAAGCACCGCGATGGGGACGCGTGCATTTTGACGGACGCCGTTACTGACAGAATCCGTTGACTGAGCCCTGGCGAGGTTCGGTGTGCAAGCAGACCTATTTACTTCGGAGTTTGATGCAATGACGAGAGGCGGATGATAGATTCGCGCGATTGTAGTCAACACAAACGCACACGCAGTGTCGATAATTAATCAGAATGGACGTGACTGGAGAGAGGGTTGCACAACGTGACTTTAGAGAGGGTTGCATTGATGGCACGATGGCTGAAGCTAACTCAAAGAAAAACTGGCTGCTAAGTACCTCGTTAGCTCTGGCTTTAGGATTCCTTACTGCCGTATTCCGTCTGTACTCCGTTCAGAAGCTTGACAGGCTCCGGACAGTTCCAGTCACGGTTTGTGAATCGTGATTCGCCGAGCGCTGCCAATGGCTGTGAGCATGAACCAATTCCAAGGTGCCTGGGCTGGAGAACGCTTGATTCGATCAGTAGTATTCAGCCAATCAAAACGGTCGCCGCTGAGCTGGAGATGCGTCAATGTGCGACGTGGCCTGTTGAGAATTCGATGGTCTCGAAGGGTTGTTGGAGCACAGTAACTACTTTGATGTCATAATGAGGTATATGTACGAAAACCTTTTCGTAACCACGATGTGCCCCATAACGAGTATATCTGAAGGGGGCAGAAGTCCGTTTTCGTGAGTTTCAAAGCAGTCATTTGACGCTTGGCGTGAGAGGGGCAATCAACGGATGAGCTTCCCGCCTGCTTCTAAACGGGTCGCGTTTTGGATAAACGTCAAACCGTTGACCAATCATGTGCGGACCGCTTAGCGACCCCAATCACGTCCACACCACCAACACAGGTACGTCTCATCACCTCCATCCCACCGTTCATTCGTTCTCCGCGTCCAGAATCCAACCATCCAGAAAAATACCCATTCATCGGTGATTGGTCAGGTCACCATTAGCTCTATTCCTTCCGTCCCGTCGTGGTTCGAAATTCCCAATGCTCCACCTTCGTGCATCAGTTTTATCACGCCCGCGTCGGCGCCATTTCCCATCTTCCCAAGGTCCACCTTCGGCTTTCCCGATCGCAATTCCCGGAGAACTCCTCCTTGAGTGTGGCAAACGGGCGCTGCCTCGTTCCCCTTGCTTCTTGGCGGCGAAGGTGCCAATGCTAATGCCAAGGCTTCCGTGAGATGCGGCAAACGTCAAAAGCCAAGGCGAAAGTCGAATTCGTTCACCACTACCCTTGGCTGGTGTGTCGTGCAGAGCTGTCCTGAATCAACGCACTTTATCTGACTGAAAGCTACTCGTCTGCTCGCAAAGCTTGCTCAAAACGACGTTGCATAAGCCAGCTACGCGAATCATATGTTCCTTCTCGTCAAGACTCACCTGGTCTTCTCACTGACCCTCTGATCGTCATTTCGACCATGGTCAGATATAGACGATCGTAACTCTCAGCAGCTAGAAGACCTGGTAAATTTGATCCTGACAGGCAGCGCCGATACCGACTGATTCGCCGCAAACATACCTTTTTACATAAAACCCATTCCATTCACCGTTAACTCCTCAACATGGCGACGCGAATTCAGGGGATTCCCCCAAAATGGTTACTTATCCTCTTTCTGGCTTCAGTATCAGCTTTCATACAGTCCACCATTGCCGTCGGCCTCTCAGCGCAAGGCCTCGCCAGAATCAAACAAGCCAAGAGGCCTTCGTTCGCGTTACAAGCATCCTCGAGTCCCGTAAGAAGAAGCCTCGCGACAAGCCCGACGACAGCGGCAGTGGAGCTGCTTGAGGAAGTGAGCGGCACGGCTACGGCGCTGACCGAACGGGTTTTTGCCGTTACGTACGGAGAAAAGGACGCCATCGCCTTTCGAGGGGTCTTGACGGAGGTACGGAAATTTGTTTCACGGAGTCTGCGTATAGGCTTCACAGGCCTCACTACCTCAGCCCGTGCCGCGGCCTTTAGAGCCGTTGTTGTTTGAAGGGAGTATGTTTCTTTCTTCTCGAGTGAGTTAATAACGTGGAAAAAGCTTGTTGAGCTCGAACATCTCCGGGTCTATCATCCCTCTCTCCCCGACCTCACAGGCATCGCTCATCGTCAAGAACCTTGATTCTGCCCCACCAGCAATCTCGCCGACGCCGTGTGCGGCTTTTGAGTCGACTCAAAAGTCAACCCGTTCAATCATCCCTCTCTCTCTCCCTGCCCTCACAGGCATCGCTCATCGTCAAGAACCTTGATTCTGCCACCAGCAATCTCGCCGACGCCGTGCACGGCTTTTGAGTCGACTCAAAAGTCAACCCGTTCTATCATCCCTCTCTCCCTCCCTGCCCTCACAGGCGTCGCTCATCGTCAAGAGCCTTGATTCCGCCACCAGCAATCTCGCCGACGCCGTGCGCGGCGGCCCGAACAATATCGACCGTACGGAGCTCAAAGAAGCAATCGCAGCCGTTGGATTCGCTCAGTCGAGCGAGAACTACCTCGAGATTGCCTTGCAGGCGAAATTCCAAACCGTCAGTGGCAAGGCGATCGGGCAACTCCAGACGGCCGCTGCTGCCCTGGGCGACGATCTTAAAGCCCTTCGAGCCGTCCTCCTTGAACTCAAGAATCTTAACATCGAGCGCGCCTTTTCGGCTGCGCTCTCGACGGATCAGTTTCAGCCAGCTGGCGAGGCTTTCGACCGGCACGAATCCCTGACCGAGGTGTTCCAGTCCCAGCTCGCCAGTTCCAGTAACGCGGATAAAAAGGACAAGCCGACGCCGAAAGCCGACACCCGCTGGCCCTTCGGGGCAACAAGCCGTCGCCCTGCGCCTAGATTCCGACCAGGCTGCACTGTACCAAGTCAAGGTTACCGGCTACCAAGATACACTCTTCTGCTCCACTGGCCGTCACTATATCAAAAACTGCATAATCGAGGGCACTGTTGATTTCATTTTCGGATACGGGGCTGTGGTGGTGCAATCGTCTACACTCAATGCCCTGAAATCTCCAACTTACACAACAACGGTTCTGGCTTCTGGGTGTTACCAATCCGGAGCACTGTGTGGGATTGTGGTGGCTGACAGTCAAGTGAATGGTGACTATGGCGACATCTACTTGGGCCGGCCGTGGAAGGAGTATGCTACCATGGTGTTTATCAACACTGTCCTGCCTGCGGTGAGTGGAACCATGATGTTGCTCTTCTGCGCTGTAGTTTGCCTTTGTGTTGCCGGTGTGCGAATGGTCAGGTTTGTTTCATTTGTTTTACATTTGTGCTAATCCCAGATGCCACCTTCAACTTTCCCGTTTGTTTTTTTGTTTTCTTTTCTGCATTGTTCTGTACTGGATTTGCAGAAACTGAACAGGAACGGGTGGATGCCTTGGAAAATCTCTGAGACGTTTGGTGGGAAGCCATTCTTGGCAGAGTTTGGCAGCAAGGGCGGTGGTGTCCAGTCATCAAGAGTATCCTGGGCCAGACCTGGCGTGGTTTCTTCGTCATCACAAGTCAGCAAGTACTCTCCCAATAATTTCCTCTCGCTCAGCTCGTGGATAGGCAGTACCGGGATCCCAGTCTGAGACATCCTAATGCCACACCATGGTATCAAACATGGTGCAATACTAGGATCAGATCTCCTGCAATAATGATTTAGTTGGGTTAGGTGTACATTAGGTCTCCAAGCAAGTCATTGTCAGCTAAAAATGGAAAACGACTTTTAGCAACGATAGAAAAGCACTCCCACGAGCCAGTGTGCGACGCGCAGGGGTGAAACGAACAGGCGCGAGAGAACATTCAGGGAATGTTTAGCGAAAATGAATTTTGTTCGTTACATGCACCATTGGGTTCTCGAGTCTCGAGCACAAATTCGCATCGCACCCCTTCGCAAAGCACGGAAGCAGGAGAGGTGCAAACAAACGCTGTGGATACTGTAACCCTCCCAATCAGATTTCACGGGACTACCCCAGATTGCTGTTTCCGGAAAACCTAGTCTCCTGGTTCGTCAGACCATCGTTTTGACGGGTATTATCAAGTCAAAATAGAGGCGACTATTTGTTTTGTTGTTCGGTCCTTGATATTCCACTAGACAGTAACGTGGAGATTACCGAATCTTCTGTCCAGCGAACCAAACATCTGAAGACTCCACGCGATAACCGCGTTCTGCTGCACAGGTCCAGGGTACCATGCAACTATAAATTCCCGCTAGCCGTATGATCAACGCGCACGATGCCTTATTGGCAGGAATCTGAGAAATCTCAAAAGCCTAATTAGGGTCAATGTGCGCGATCCCTAATCGCCAAGTGAGTGCTGCCTGATTGCAATTGAGTGCTGTCTCCATTCTCATAAACTGGTCCCCACAACTTTAGGAACTCGTTTCAACTCGTCTACTACGTTCCGGATTCAAGCGCTACCTCCCGCCGCGATCAGCAGCGTAACCGCCGCTAACGCCAAGGTGGTTACCACCGAAGCCACCACGGACGGCAAGGCGAAGAGGCGTGGGCTCCGGCCTCTGCAGCTGCTTCAGGAGGCCGTTTCTCGCCGCGTCGTCGCCATGTTTTACGGAGCGATGGTGTGGGATCCGTGGCTCATAGTGGCACAGATCGCGTGCCTACAGTCGTTGTTTTACCTCTCACTCGGCGTTTTCCTCTGGCTCTTCGTCGGGTCGCACGTTCCGCGATTCACGCTCAAGTATTTCTTCGACTGCTCCGTGATCTCGCCGTCCAGCTTCGTCGGCTGGTGCTGCATATTCGCGTTTCTGGCGAACGCGTTTGTAGGGTGAGTGCTTGCGCGAGGAGTGCGCGGAGAGGGGGTGGGTTCCGGGGGAGGTGGCGAAATGAGAAGAGAGGTGGGGGAAAGAGGAGTGCGCGGAGAGGGGGTGAGTTCCGGGGAATGTAGCTTTGTGTTACTTGCTACGGAAGTGTTGGGGATTGGGAAGGGTTGGGTTGGGTTAGGAGGGGTGAGGATGGGGCATTGTCTTGTCTACATTGGCTCTGAGTGAACTGCATGTGGTACTTCACCTCTTACTTCCGCGCTTCCCTCCGCATGTTCCCCATGTTCCCTGGCCCTTTCCACAAAGTTTCAGCCCATTTGTTCCCTGTCCTCCCCCCCCATTCCCCCTCCTTCTGTCCCCTTTCCGCCCACCGACCAGCGCCTTCTATCTGGTGGTGGTGGTGGAGCGAACCAAGAAGTGTCTCGACTTTGCGGCCACGGTGCATCTGCTGCATGCGCTGCTCTGCCTGCTCTACGCACGCATCCTCTCCCCCTTCTCCTTCTGGCTCACCTCCTTCCTCTCCTGCCTGCTCTATGTTCGTGCGCTGCTCTATCTGCTCGGTTTTCCGCCCACATAACCTCCCTTCACCCCTCCGTCTGCCCCTTTTCCCACCCATCAGCGCTTTCTATCTGGTGGTGGTGGTGGAGCGAACCAAGAAGTGTCTCGACTTTGCGGCCACGGTGCATCTGCTGCACGCGCTGCTCTGCCTGCTCTACGCGCGCGTCCCCTCCTCCTTCTCCTTCTGGCTCACCTCCTTCCTCTCCTGCCTGCTCATGACTCTCCTCGGGGAATGGCTGTGTCTGCAACGGGAGCAGAGAGAGATTCCTCTTTCCACCACCGGGGGTGCGGGAGGAGCGTCAGGGTCGAGTCGAGCCTGAGTAAGCGCTCTTGACTGAGACGAATTCTGGCTGAGTAAGTCTGGAAAATGGAGGTTTGTGTGCCGCGTCCCCTCCTCTTTCTCCTTCTGGCTCACCTCCTTCCTCTCCTGCCTGCTCATGACTCTCCTCGGGGAATGGCTGTGCTTGCAACGGGAGCAGAGAGAGATTCCTCGTTCCACCACTGGGGGTGCTGGAGGAGCAGTGGGGTCGAGTCGAACGCTGAGTAAGTCTGGAGAATAGAGCTTTGTGTACTGCGTCACCTCCTTCCTCTCCTGCCTGCTCATGACTCTCCTCGAGGAATGGCTGTGTCTGCAATGGGAGCAACGAAAGTTCCCGCTTTCCACCACCGGGGGTGCAGGAGGAGCATCCAGCTTGAGTCGAACTCTGAGTAAGTCTGGGAGATAGAGGTTAGTGTGCTGTGTCAGTGTCACCTCCTTCCAGAGACGGATTCCTCACTCCACCACCGGGGGTGCGGGAGGAGCAGCCGGCTCGAGTCGAGCTCTGAGTAAGTGCTCCGATAACCAGGTAATCTGTTTAAGACGCGTAGTATGAAGCGGTGGCACAGGGAAGCTGGAGCAGCACAAGGATCGCACTAAAGACTCCTGGGGGATGCACTCTGCTTCCTGCCCAAAACAATCTCCTGGGGGAATGCGCATCGTACTCTTGGCCAGTCCCTCTCGCCCCATCCATACCCCTCGCTTCCTGTCCCATTCTTTCCCCTCTCCCTCTCCGCCCTTTCCCATCCCTTGGCTCCGAGCCTGGTTCTATGCGAGTTCCCTCTCCTTGCCATCCATTAACCTGTTCTCTGCTCTTTCCCCTCTCTGTTTGTCCTCCTACTCTGTCCCTGCAATGCCTCTCCCACCCACTGGCTGTTCAGGTTCTTCCCACTGACAACTCCTTAGCATTCTACTTGTTCAACTGAAGGTTGTTTCCCCCACTGACAACTGCTTTCATAAACTCACTTGGTGGTGGTGGTGGTCCTTGGATCCAACTGTTGTCTGTTACTACCATATGTCGCACGTGAAAAAAACAGATCAGTGTTGTGCTGGTACATGTCTCAGCGGCAGCTGCCACTCATCCTTTTTGACTGCAGCGGCCATTATCGTAACTGTATGCAATAAAGTTGTCAGAGCTGTGCACCTAATGCAGGAAAATTTGAGTAGGACCTCACCTCATACCCTGTATAGGATTAGTGGCAAAATCTGAAAAGATCTGGGCTGGGCAGTGAGCACTGCATTGCAGCAGCTTCGTAAACCCAAAATCAAGTCCCTATCCACATCTTTGCTTGGGAAAGGAAAGCACTAGTTGCCTACACAACCGAAGCTACAAACAGCCCATTGCATGACCCGCCTCTCAAGGGAGAGGTGGATGGAGGGACTACCCATTCAGTCCGTTGCACCTCATACGGTACCAGTAAGTATTCCATTTAGTAGCTGCGGCCCCACAGAGCCCACTTCTTCGCTGGCTTGCCCGATGCGAAGCAGAGCGTGCCTGGAGGAGGGGAGAGGGGAGGAGCGGGGGAGAGTGGCGATGAGAGAGGAAGGCACGGTGTGCTCCAAGTGCCAAGGCTGTGACTCCGTGACATCCCGTGTCTACCTGGGTGCCATACCACGCTCGTCCGCCCCATTCCCCCTTCGACAAGTCTCAAAAGCCAAGTCTCAAAAGTCCCACACACGCACGCACCTTCAGGCAGCTCGGGCTGCTCAAACGGCATGCACAGCGTCTTGGCGGATCCACCCTCCCCAGCACCTGCACTCCTCTTCCTCACATCCCCCTCACTGCCTCCTCATCGCAGCGCCAGCACCATCCTTTCCTTCTCCCCCCCCTCTCTTCACCCCAAACACAACTGTACTCCCTGCTGTAACCCTATGCACCAGCCACCAGCACACAGTGACTGTATCTTACCTTCAGGGAGCTCGGGCTGCTCAAACGGCATGCACAGCGTCTTGGCGGATCCACCCTCCCCAGCACCTGCACTCCTCTTCCTCACATCCCCCTGCACCGCTACATTCTTCAGGGAGCTCGGGCTGCTCGAAGGGCATGCAGAGGGTTTTCGCGGATCCACCCTCCCCAGCACCGGCGCTCCTCTTCCGCAAATCCTCCTCCACCGCCTCCTCATCGCACCACGGCGCCAACACCATCTTCCAACCTCCCTTTCACCCCATTTTCACCCCCAGGTCAACACCGCTACATGCTGCAGGGCCTCACCTTCAGGAAGCTCGGGCTGTTCAAACGGCATGCACGACACTACTCACTACTGTAGCCCTACCCACCCGTCGCCACCAGCACACAGTGCCCGTAACGCACCTTCAGGGAGCTCGGGCTGCTCGAAGGGCATGCAGAGCGTCTTAGCCGACCCGCCTTCCCCAGCACCTGCGCTCCGCTTCCTCACATCCTCCTCCACCGCCTCCTCATCGCACCACGGCGCCAGCACCATCTTCTTGGCGTCAATGGCCGGCATGAACTCTTCCCACTGGGTGATCTTGACGATGCTCTCATCGCGCTCCTTGGTGGCGCGCGCCAGCATGTCCGCGTGAATGGTGGCGAGAAGGGCTTTAACTCGTTCGCCCAGCCCCTCCCAGGGCGCCGACTCCTTGGCGCCCGTGTCCCGCCGCACCAGCACCACCTGTAGGGGGGGGTGGGGGGGAGAGGGAGGCAGGCAGGCAGGCAGGCAGGCAGGCAGGCAGGCAGGCAGGCAGGCAGGCAGGCAGGCAGGCAGGCAGGGAGGCATGAACTCTTCCCACTGGGTGATCTTCACGATGCTCTCATCGCGCTCCTTGGTGGCGCGCGCCAGCATGTCCGCGTGGATCGTGGCAAGAAGGGCTTTAACTCGCTCGCCCAGCCCCTCCCAGGGCGCCGATTCCTTCGCGCCCGTGTCTCGCCGCACCAGCACCACCTGGAGGGGGGTGGGAGGGAGAGGGAGGGAGGGAGGCAGGGAGGGAGGGAGGCAGGAGGGAGGCAGGCAGGCAGGCAGAGAGGGAGGGAGGCAGGCAGGCAGGCAGGCAGGCAGGCAGGCAGGCAGGCAGGCAGGGAGGCAGGGAGGCATGAACTCGTCCCACTGGGTGATCTTGACGATGCTCTCATCGCGCTCCTTGGTGGCGCGCGCCAGCATGTCCGCGTGGATCGTGGCGAGAAGGGCTTTAACTCGCTCGCCCAGCCCTTCCCAGGGCGCCAATTCCTTGGCTCCCGTGTCCCGCCGCACCAACACCCACCTGCTTGTTGGCCAGGTCCCTGGGGCCCAGCTCCACTCGAATGGGCACCCCCCTGAGCTCCCAGAAGTTGTACTTAAAGCCCGGGGAGTAGTTGTCGCGTGCGTCCTCCTTCACTCGGATCCCCGCCGCCCGCAGCTGGCCGCCCACGTCGGCCGCTGCTGCCACGACTGCCGCCCGGTCGGCGTCCTTGAAGGGGATGGGGACGACGATGGCTTGGATGGGCGCCACGTTGGGCGGCAGCACGAGGCCCTTGTCGTCTGAATGCACCATCACCATCACGCCAATCTGCACGAGAGGGAAACAGTCGGGACACACAGACAGTCAGGGACACACAGGATAGGGTAATAATCCAGGGTCAAGTATAGGGGAAATATTCGCGCCACATTGGGCGGCAGCACGAGGCCCTTGTCGTCTGAATGCACCATCACCATCACTCCGATCTGTGGGAACAATGGGGGCAGGGAGTGGGGTGAAGGGGGGAAGGAGCAGGGTGGGGGAGACAGGGTTGGTTGGTTGGAGAAAAGACATGGGCCACTGGGATGGGCGCCATGTTGGGCGGCAGCACGAGGCCCTTGTCGTCTGAATGCACCATCCATCACCATCACCTAAACCCGATCTGCAACAAGTATACAGTCACAGAGGGAAACGGGAGGATTGATGGAGAATGGAAGGCTAGGAGAGAAGATGTGGGGCACCAGAATAGGCGCCACATCAGGGGGGGAAATGGGGCCCTTGTCATCTGAATGAATGCAGCACCATCAACTCACCCCGATTGGCGGAGTCAACAAGAAGGGAATAGGGTTGGAGGAAAGACACAGGCACTTAGATGGGAGGCATGTTGGAGGGCAGCACGAGGTCCTTTTCATCTGAATGCACCATGCAGCATGCATCTTGCACCTTGCACCATACATCTGCACCCCTCTCCTATCTGAGCAGATGGTTCGCAGGAAAAAAAAAAAAAAAAAAAAAAAGTTTCCTATCTGAGCAGGAGTACCCTAGAAACTCACGGAGCGCGTGGAGAGCCCCCAGCTGTTCTGCCAGACCATCTGCTTGGCACAACACCCTCACAGCCCCACCCACGTTCAAACAGCAAGAACACGCAGCTAAGTCACGCAGGCAAGGGGTGGTAACTCACGGAGCGCGTGGAGAGCCCCCAGCTGTTCTGCCAGACCATCTGCTTGGCGCCCTTATCGTCCTCAAACTCAATGTTGAACATCTTGGCAAAGTTCTGCCCCAGGCAGTGCGACGTGGCTGACTGGATGCCCCTGCCCATCGCTGGGATGAACGCCTGCAGCAGGTGATAGGGACATGGTCGCACAGGAGGGAGAGAAGAACAGGGGAGAATGACTAAAATGAGGGGAGAATAGTTCTGCCCCAGGCAGTGCGATGTGGCCGACTGGATGCCCCTGCCCGTCGCTGGGATGAACGCCTGTGGGAGAGAGGACGGTGAAACAGCGCACAGGGGGGAGAGAAGAAGAGGGGAGGGAGAATGACAAGGAGTGAGGGGTGACTAGTTCTGCCCCAGGCAGTGCGATGTGGCCGACTGGATGCCCCTGCCCGTCGCTGGGATGAACGCCTGCAGCAGGTGAGGCAGGAGAGGAAATGCCAAGAGCAGAGACGGTAAAGAGTTCTTCTGACCAAGGCAATACTTCTCATCCCCTACCACCCACCGCCTACCATCGTATCTCCTCATCCCCTTCACAAGCACCACTGCAAGCACCACAGCAGCAGCCCTACAGCCCAGAAACTCACCCCAAAACACCGGCCTCCAAACCAAACCAGAGCATACCTCAACAGTGGTGGTGTAGAGACCCCCAGCGAACTTCTCCCGCTCGCTCTTCACGCCCTTCACCACCGGCACTGCCAGCAGCTCCTCGTAGATGCGGCGGTACAGCTCTAGGATGGCCAAGGGGAGCCAATACATGCGTTCGCCCCATGCCCATACATGCGTACCACACCATACCACACCATAGCATCCGCAGAACACGCGCAGCAAAAGTGTACCTCGACAGTGGTGGTGTAGAGCCCACCGGCGAACTTCTCCCGCTCACTCTTCACGCCCTTCACCACCGGCACTGCCAGCAGCTCCTCATAGATGCGGCGGTACAGCTCCAGGATGGCGAGTACTTCATCGTCCGCCTCCTCCTTGCTGGCGAACGCCGTGTGCCCCTCCTGCCACAGGAACTCACGGCTCCTGGGGGTGGGGAGTGAGGGAGGGAAGCAGGGATGGGAGCAGCCCAGCCAGCAGCTCCTCGTAGATGCAGCGGTACAGCTCCAGGATGGCGAGCACCTCCACGTCCGCCTCCTCCTTGCTGGCGAAGGCTGTGTGGCCCTCCTGCCACAGGAACTCGCGACTCCTGATTTGGGGGAGGGGGGGTGAGGTGATGGGGCGGCAGCAGGGAAAAGAGAGGGAAGAGAGTGTACAGGCAGGAGGGAGTGGAGGTGTGTGGGAGGGAGGATGGGGTGAAGGGGCGAGCAGGGAGGGAGAGGAGCAGCGAGCCAGGATGGCCAACACCTCAACGTCCGCCTCCTCCTTGCTGGCGAAGGCGGTATGCCCCTCCTGCCACAGAAACTCGCGACTCCTGGGGGTGGAGGGGAGAGGGTGGACGAGGGGAGGGAGCGTGCTTGTTGGGCGGTGGGCGTGGGCAGAGTGCGTGTGAGGAAGGAAGTGAAATGAAGGGATCAAACGCCTATTGCCACAGGAACTCGCGACTCCTAGGAGTGTGGGGAGGGGGTGGGGAGAAACAGGGTGAATGGGGGAGCGTGGGCTGCTCAGAGTTCCACCAGGTAAAGGCGTGGGGTGCTGAACCCCCATTCCATGTTCGGGGTGCGGTGTTAAATCTCAAACATGCTTCTACTCCTCCCTACCCACTCACTCCCATCCACCCACCCACCCACCCGCCCACCGGATGAAGGGCGTGGGGTGCTCACCGGATGAAGGGCGTGGGGTGCTTGAACTCCCAGCGCACGACGCTGTTCCACTGGTTGAGCTTCAGGGGCAGGTCGCGGTGCGAGTGGATCCACTTGGCGTAGATGGGGTACATCACCGTCTCACTCGTGTTTAGTGCCTCCCTGCTCTGCTGTCCCTCCGACCCCACACGCACCTACCAACCCCCCTACCATCCCACCCACCCGCCCACCCATCCACCCACCCACCCACCCACACACACCGAGTGCTGAGACGTCTCAAAACCACACACACATCCCACCGCCCACCCACGCACCGGATGAAGGGCGTGGGGTGTTTGAACTCCCAGCGCACGACGCTGTTCCACTGGTTGAGCTTCAGGGGCAGGTCGCGGTGCGAGTGGATCCACTTGGCGTAGATGGGGTACATCACCGTCTCACTCGTGGGGCGGATGGCGATGGGCACGTCCAGCTCCGACTGGCCTGATTTGGTCACCCATGCCACCTGCAGGGTGCAGTGCGGTGGAGAGGGATGGGGAGGGAGGCGAGTGGATCCACTTGGCGTAGATGGGGTACATCACCGTCTCACTCGTGGGGCGGATGGCGATGGGCACGTCCAGCTCCGACTGGCCTGATTTGGTCACCCACGCCACCTGGGGGGTGCAGTGCGGTGGGATGGGGTGGGGAGGGAGGTGAGTGGATCCACTTGGCGTAGATGGGGTACATCACCGTCTCACTCGTGGGGCGGATGGCGATGGGCACGTCCAGCTCCGACTGGCCTGATTTGGTCACCCATGCCACCTGCAGGGTGCAGTGCGGTGGAGAGGGATGGGGAGGGAGGCGAGTGGATCCACTTGGCGTAGATGGGGTACATCACCGTCTCACTCGTGGGACGGATGGCAATGGGCACATCTAGCTCCGACTGCCCTGATTTGGTCACCCATGCGACCTGCGGGGTGCAGTGCGGTGGAGAGGGATGGGGAGGGAGGCGAGTGGATCCACTTGGCGTAGATGGGGTACATCACCGTCTCACTCGTGGGGCGGATGGCGATGGGCACGTCTAACTCCGACTGGCCTGACTTGGTCACCCATGCGACCTGCAGGGTGCAGTGCGGTGGAGAGGGATGGGGAGGGAGGGGAGTGGATCCACTTGGCGTAGATGGGGTACATCACCGTCTCACTCGTAGGGCGGATGGCGATGGGCACGTCTAGCTCCGATTGGCCTGATTTGGTCACCCATGCGACCTGCGGGGTGCAGTGCGGTGGAGAGGGATGGGGAGGGAGGGGAGTGGATCCACTTGGCATAGATGGGGTACATCACCGTCTCACTCGTGGGGCGGATGGCGATGGGCACGTCCAGCTCCGACTGGCCTGATTTGGTCACCCATGCCACCTGGGGGGTGCAGTGCGGTGGGATGGGGTGGGGAGGGAGGCGAGTGGATCCACTTGGCGTAAATGGGGTACATCACCGTCTCACTTGTGGGTCGGATGGCGATGGGCACGTCTAGCTCGGATTGACCTGATTTGGTCACCCACGCCACCTGGGAGTTGCGGTTGGATGTGTGGGAAGGGGGGGTTACGGGATGGGGAGTGAGGGAGGAGGAGGGAGGAAATAGGAGGGAGGAAGCATGGGGAGTGCGGAGGGAGGAACAGTCGGTTTTTCAGTCCGCGCTTGCTCACCTTGGGAGCAAGCCCGTTGATGTGGTCCTTCCCGAAGGTGGGCGCCCTCTTGAGAAAACAGGGAGCACTGCACCTCCGCTCGCTATAATCACACTCAGACTCCCAACAATCAGCTACAAAAGCAGCCAATGCTCACCTCGGGAGCGAAACCCTCCACGTGGTTCTTCTCGGCGTTTAGCGCCCTCTATGAGACGAACATGGGGAAGAAGTAGCACTTGTGCACTTCCACTTCAAAAGAAAACAGCAACCTTGCCTCACCTCGGGAGCGAAGCCCTCCACGTGGTCCTTCTCGGCTCAGTGTTGCGCCCTCTCTCCGAGACGAACATGGGGAATCAGGGGTTGAGCACTTTCACTTCCAACAATCATAACAGCAAGCTTGCCTCACCTCAGGAGCGAAGCCCTCCACGTGGTCCTTCTCGGCTCGGCGTTTAGCGCCCTCCCAGAGACGAACATAGGGAATCAGGGACTTGAGCACTTTCACTTCCAACAATCATAACAGCGAGCTTGCCTCACCTCGGGAGCGAAACCCTCCACGTGGTCCTTCTCGGCGTTTAGCGCCTTTTCCGAGACGAACATGGGGAAGTAGGAGTTCTGCACCCCCAGCTGCTTGATCTCCGCGTTGAAGAAGCCCTGAAGGGAGGGAGGGGAGGGGAGGGGAGAGGAAGAGAGAGGAGGGGAGAGGAGAACAGGAGGAGGAAGAGGGAACGAGAGGCCAAGGAGAGAGAGAGGTTAGGAGATGAATGAGAATAGGAGAGAGAAGAAACTACATGCCTCGAATATTTTCAAATCGAAGCTACCAATGGTTTCTGATGACAATAACACCTTGATGACTTCCCAAATGGAGTAGGAGTAGGACCAGGGTCGGAGAATGACCTTTGTGTTAACAGAAAAGAACTCGCATCATCACCTCGTGCGCCAGTCACGCATTGATTTCCCCAGCCATACCTGGATGGTTTCCCAGATGGAGTAGGACGAGGGTCTCAGGATGTAGCAGCCGGACACGTCATAGTATTCAATCAGCTCTGACTGCACCACCACCTCCGAGTACCACTTCCCGTAGTCCTCCCTCCCTCCCTCCCTCCCTCCTTCCACATCCCCATTCCCTCTCACCATCACTGTCTCCGATATGGGTTAGGTTAGGACCGACCAGGGTCGGAGACGGGTGACCTGACCAGTGTGCTGAGCCGACACCAGAACAGAATACACACCACCTTTGAGAGTGCCAATCGCACCTGGATGGTTTCCCAGATGGAGTAGGACGAGGGTCGCAGAATGTAGCAGCCGGACACGTCATAGTACTCAATCAGCTCTGACTGCACCACCACCTCCGAGTACCACTTCCCATAGTCCTCCGATTTCTTCACCGACAGACCCAGAAGCGTCTCCTTCTTCACCTCTTTCTTCCCTCCTCCTCCGCCTCCGCCTCCTCCGCCTTGTTGGTTGGGCTTTTTCTCCTTAGGGACCTTCTCTTTCTTGGGTTTCTCCTTCTTCTCCTTCTTCTCTTTCTGATCTTTCTGATCCTTCTGCTCCGTGGGCTCGGCTGCTGGCTTATCGGCGATTGACAGGTCAGCAGCAGCTGCAGCCGTCGCGTCGACTGTCTCTGCTGCAGGAGCGGCCTGATCCTGATTGGTCGAGAGCCGGGGGTTAAATTGAAAACATTAGCGGAAGGAGCAAAATGGGGGTCCACTTTTTAAAACAGACAAATTAGCAACGACGGCGGGATGACTTCAAACGACGAAGCATCAGAATAAACACAAGAATGTGATGAGGAAGACGAGAATTCAAATTCTGGCACCGACGTCGACATTGCAAAGGATGACAAGATAATAAAAGTTCAAGAAGCTCGTAATGGCTCGCTCGCGTTAAAAACCGTAGTTACTTGCGCGTTTAAGATATTCCGCTAGACGGCAAGGCTTGTCTGGAGACTGGAATCAATCATGAAATATACACAGAAATAATCCAATCTAATCTCATAAGGCTTGTGCAAACACGAGAACTTCAGTGGTGACAGCCAGACCCGAGGATCAGGGTTTTGGATAAGGCTCTTCCAGAAGGGTGCAGATTAATGTCAAACGTTCAGCGATAATATCATACTAAAGGTTAACCATAATCGTTTTATCACGCGAAAACGATGACAATGCGGAAAGGTTAACGCCTGACGTGGATACTGAACGGAGTGGCTCGTGGGTTACGGAGCACGTAGCCACCTTAAGTCTAAATACCAACATACCTTATCCATTGTCACGATACTGCGAGGAGAAGCAAGATTAGTGAAGGACGCGAACGGGAGAGCCTCTACTTGCTTTTGCGGGAAATCCGCTGCGTGTGCCTGACAGGATCAACAGAATTCCTGACACAGGATCCCAAGGTTGAAGTGAAAGAGGTGGACCATGAATCCTGGAGTTGTGACATGAATAGAGGTGATGCAGTTTGCAGTTCATGGATCAATGGTTCAGGCTGGTGAATAGCGGTTCAAAGAGGTGAAACAAGGGTACCTCTCTACAGTCCACAATCTCGCTCTGAACCGCTCCTACGATCATTCTGAATTGGCGGTGTAATCGTAGTGTCTCTCCAACACAGCGACTGTCCTCGAAAATGCCGAAATTGGCTGGCAAGGTAGGCCATGATTATACAGTGAACATTTTAATGTTTATATCCTCATAGGGCAAACTATCTCAAAGAATTTTTCTAGTGCCTCAAAGTGAGACAGGATTGGACCCAGCTTGTTGGGTCAATTGCATACTTATACTAACGAGACAAGGGATCCGCATATGGCAGATGAACTTACAGGACACTTAGTACAAATTAAAGAATATATACGTCACTTAGTTCCATAACCACTGCATTGCCATCACTACTACAGAGCAGCGTTGGCAAGGCTCTCAAGCGATAGGCTCTTCGCAATGTCCGCAAGGCCGGATGATCGTACTGCGTACTCCGCCACGAGGCGAGAAAACATGGAATCAGGGTCACGCATGAGCTCAGCTGGCGAGTTGCACTCCGCCACGGTTCCTGGGAAGTGTTGAGGGCAAAGGCACGACCAAGGACAAATAGAGGGTGAGAGATGGTGCGGCATGGACGGATTGCGGGTCCGAAAGGAGCTCAACTGGTGAATTGCACTCCGCCACGGTTCCCGGGAGGTATTCAGGGCAAACGGGACCCCAAGAAGGGAGAGAGAAGAGAGAGAATATGAGGCATCTGATTATGGTTGGTACTGCCTTGGTCTAAGAAGCGCCCCTCTGATTCACTTTCTTTTTACAGTCATTGATTCGACCACTCACCCCCATACATCACCACCACCATCCATACCACCACCATGTCACTGTCAATGATCATCGCGATCCGGTGAGCAATGCTGATGATGATAGGTGTTGTCATACCCACCTCAACATTGTTATTTGCTTCACCTTGTTTCCACGACTCACCCCCATCCATACCACCACCATGTCACTGTCAATGATCATCGCGATCCGGTGAGCAATGCTGATGATGATAGGTGTTGTCATACCCACCTCAACATTGTTATTTGCTTCACCTTGTTTCCACGATTCACCCCCATCCATACCACCACCATGTCACTCTCAATGACCGTCACTACCCGGTGAGCAATGCTGATGATAGTTGGGCTGCCTCGTTGCTTCTTAAATTCACTCACTTTTAACAAAGTCATTATTTCATGCTTTACCTTCCTCCATGCTTCACCTTACACAGAAACTCACCCCCATCCATCACCACCACCAAGTCACTGTCAATGACAGTCGCGACCCGGTGCGCAATGCTGATGATAGTGGGTGCTGCCTTAACCACTGTCTCAAACATGCTTTACCTTCCTCCATGCTTCACCTTATTCAGTGACTCACCCCCATCCATCACTCACCCCCATCCATCACTCACCCCCATCCATCACTCACCCCCATCCATCACCACCACCAAGTCACTGTCAATGATCGTCGCTATCCGGTGGGCAATGCTGATGATGGTTGTTTCTGCCTCGTTGCTTTTCTAATTCACTTGGCTTTAACACACTCATTCTTTCCATCACTCACCCCCATCCATCACCACCACCAAGTCACTGTCAATGACCGTCGCGATCCGGTGAGCGATGCTGATGATGGTTGGTGCTTTTCTAAATCACTTTTTTTAAACACAGTCCATCGTTTCCATGACTCACCCCCATCCATCACCACCACCATATCACTGTCAATGACCGTCGCGATCCGGTGAGCGATGCTGATGATAGTCGCCCCGCCAAAGCTCTCCTTTATCGTCCGTTGGATCGCCGCGTCGGTGGCGGAATCAACGGACGCCGTCGCTTCATCCAGCACGAGAATCCGCGAGTTCTTCAGCAGCGCCCGACCGAGGCAGAATAGCTGCCTCTGCCCCACGCTCCAGTTCTCCCCTCCCTCCACCACTGCAGGGAAGAAATTATTTGAGAAAGGATATTTTGGGCATGAGTTAGAGCCAACTGAACAGCTGCCTCCACCCCACGCTTCAGTTATTCCCTCCTCCCACCACTGAAAGTTTGAACCCATGTCGCACACATGTCACACACACATACACAGCAGACACATAAAGTGAAACACAGATGTTGGTGCGAAGGCGAGTTTTGAGGCGCCTCAAAACTAGAATGTTGCACACATGTCACACACACATACACAGCAGACACATGAAGTGAAACACAGATGTTGGTCCGAAGGCGCCTCAAAACCACGATGCACACACAAGCGGGCACAAACAAGATTGGTGAAGTGGCGCCTTATTTTTCCTTATTGCTTAGACAGAGCCCCCTCCATGCCTCAGGGAGTTAGCTTGTACGTACCGCCATACAAGCCTTATGTTTTTTTACTGCTTAGTACTCCCATCCTCATTCACACTCACCCTGTGCATCCAGCTTCGCTTCCATGCCCCTCACAGTGTCCCCCAGCTGGCATCGATCCAGCGCCTGGTGAGAGGGGAGGCGTTTAGAGGCTCCTCAAAACCTTCCCCTTGCCTAGTACTCCCATCCTTATCTATCCATACTCACCCTGTGCATCCAGCTTGGCCTCCATGCCCTTAACAGTGTCCCCCAGCTGACACCTGTCCAGAGCCTGCAGAAGAGGGGAGGGGAGAAGGGGAGGAAGGGGCAGGGGTAGAGAAAGACGAGGAGGAGATGAGACAGGACAAAGTGGGGAATGGGATGTACAGCAGGCAGGCAGCAGACTATAATTTTTTTTTGGTCGACTCAAAAGTCATAGGGGTAGAGAAAGACGAGGAGGAGAGGAGACAGGACAAAGGAGGGAATGGAATGTACAGCAGGCAGGCAGCAGACTATCTATTTTTTTTAGTCGATCCAAAAGTCATTAAGGAGGGAATGGAAGGTACAGCAGGCAGGCAGCAGTCAAAAGTGGGGACAGGCAGGCAGCAGTCTATCTATTTTCTTTTAGTCGACTCAAAAGTCATTAAGGAGGGAATGGAATGTACAGCAGGCGGGCAAACCTCAGGCTGTCTTGATGTCATTCAACCTCACCTCAAAATCAGCGTGGGGTAGACTGGGGCTAAGAAATCATCACTCAGATCGCCACTAGCTTTCGACCGACTCCCCAAGGAGACTCACCTCCCATATCTGAGCGTCACTGTATTCCCCCGCCGGGTCGAGATTCATTCTAATAGACCCCCTGGAACAGCGTCGGGTCCTGTGGTATGATCAACAATCTCATGACCCCTCTGCTCCCCTCCCCACCCTTCCCCCTCCCCTTCCCCAAGGCGACTCACCTCCCATATCTGAGCGTCACTGTATTCACCCGCAGGGTCCAGGTTCATTCGGATAGACCCCTGGAACAGCGTCCGGTCCTGTGGTATGATCGCCCACCTCACTCCCCTTCCCGTTTTCCCCAAGGCGACTCACCTCCCATATCTGAGCGTCACTGTATTCCCCGGCAGGGTCCAGGTTCATTCGGATAGACCCCTGGAACAGCGTCGGGTCCTGTGGTATGATCGCCAGCCGCCCCCTCAGGTCGCCCAATCCGATGCTCCCAATGTCCACGTCATCAATCACCACCCTGCCACCCGCCGGCTCGACCAACCGGAAGAGAGCCGCAACGAGCGTTGACTTGCCGCTGCCGGTGCGGCCCACAATCCCCACCTTGTTCCCGCCTGGGATGGTCAGAGTCACGCCCTTCAGCACCATTGGCAGGTCTGGCCGGTACTGGACCTGATGGGGAGGAGGAGAGGTTGGGTGGGGGAGAGAGGTTCGTAAGAGAGCGGGCAAGTGACTTGGTTGACTGGGTTGACTTGCCGCTGCCAGTGCGGCCCACAATGCCGACCTTGTGCCCCCCTGGGATTGATAGAGTCACGCCCTTCAGCACCATGGGCAGGTCTGGCCGGTACTGGACCTGGGGGGGGAGGAAAGTGGAGAAGTACTAGTGAAAGAGAGCAGACGATTCGGTTGACTTTGTTGACCACTGCCGGCGCGGCCCACAATCCCCACCTTGTTCCCCCCTGGGATGGTCAGAGCCACGCCCTTCAGCACCATGGGCAGGTCTGGCCGGTACTGGACCTGGGGGGAAGGGGAAAGGTGGGAGAGAGAGGAAAAAGCGGGCGGCGACTTGGTTGACTTGGTTGACTTGCTGCTGCCAGTGCTGCCAACAGTGCGGCCCACTAAATGGTGACGTTGTGCAAGCCTGGGATCGTTAGAGTCACGCCCTTCCCTTCCACACCATGGGAAGGTCTGGCCGGTACTGGACTTGGGGGGAGGGAGGGAGACCTGGCGACTTGGTTGACTTTGTTGACTTGCTGCTGCCAACAGTGCGGCCCACTAAATGGTGACGTTGTGCCCGCCTGGGATCGTTAGAGTCACGCCCTTCCCTTCCACACCACGGGAAGGTCTGGCCGGTACTGGACATGGGGTGGGAGGGGAGAGAGGTGGGAGTGAGAGAGTGGAGGAGACTTAGTTGACTTTGTTGCACTGAGCGCCAGAGAGAAGGTCGGGGAATCCAAGACCCCCAAATCACCCACACCCAAAGCACCCAACGCCCTCAAGTGAAGGCTGAAGGCTGAAGGCCGAAATCACCCACACCACACCCACCTGAAGGCTGTCAAACTCCACTCGCCCCTGGTGCGGCCAGAGAGGGGGAGGCCGGTGGGTGGGGTCTGGAGATAACAAGAGGCGCTTGTGAGGGCACGGCGGGGTGGGAGAAGTGGAGGATTCGCTCCACTGAGACCATCTGGTTCTCCAGGGAGCACCACGCCCACACCACGCTCACCACACTGCAACGACCCTCAACCCTACCACTGGAAAGCCCCACAACAACCACCCCGGAGGTACTCAACCCACACCCACCTGAAGGCTGTCAAACTCCACGCGCCCCTGCTGCGGCCAGAGAGGGGGAGGCCGGTGGGTGGGGGAGGACGAGGGGGGCATCAGAGGGCACAGCGGGGTGGGAGAAGTGCAGGATTCGCCCCTGGGAACACCAAACCCACACCACCACACTGAAACCCCTCAACACACGCACCCACCTGAAGACCATCAAACTCCACTCGCCCCTGGTGCGGCCAGTCAGGCAGAGGCCGGTGGTTGGAGACAATGAGGGGGGCTTGAGAGGGCACAGCGGGGTGGGAAAAGTGGAGGATTCGCTCCACTGAGACCATCTGGTTCTCCAGAGAGCACCACGCCCACACCACACTCACCACACTGCAACGACCCTCAACCCTACCACTGGAAAGCCCCACAACAACCACCGAAGGCCCTCAAATCACACCCACCTGAAGGCCCTCAAGCTCCACCCTTCCCGTGCTAGGCCAGTGCGGGGGAGGCCGGTGGGTGGAGACAACGAGAGGTGCTTCAGAGGGCACGGCGGGGTGGGAGAAGTGCAGAATTCGCTCCACTGAGACCATCTGGTTCTCCAGGGAGCACCACGCCCACACCACACTGCAACGACCCTCAACCCACCCACTAAAACCCCCCAAGCCAACCACTGAAAACCCTCAACCCGCACCCACCTGAAGGCCATCAAACTCCACTCGCCCCTGCTGCGGCCAGTCAGGCTTAAGTCGGTGGTGGGGGAGGATGAGAGGGGCTTCAGAGGGCACAGCGGGGTGGGAGAAGTGCAGAATTCGCTCCACTGAGACCATCTGGTTCTCCAGGGAGCACCACGCCCACACCACGAAGAAGAGCGCTTGGGAGAGAGCAAGGCCGTAGGATAGGGACATTCCTGCCAGACCTGGGAGGAGCGGTGGGAGAGAGAGCAGGAGCATGGCAAGGGAGAGGTTGGGAGGGTCAGGCAGGGGTGGGATGGGAGGAGACAGAGTAGAAAGCAAGGTATGGGACTAGGTGCTCCAATGAGACTGTATGGTTCTCCAGGGAGCACCACGCCCACACCAGGAAGAAGAGCGCTTGGGAGAGAGCAAGGCCGTAGGATAGGGACATGCCTGCCAGGCCTGGGAGAGGGGCGGAAAAGGAGAGAAGCAGAGAATGAGCGCGGAGCATGAGCATGAGCATGAGCATGAGCATGAGCATGAGCATGAGCATGAGCACGAGCACGAGCATGAGCATGAGCATGAGCATGAGCATGAGCATGAGCATGAGCATGAGCATGAGCACGAGCACGAGCATGAGCATGAGCATGAGCATGAGCATGAGCATGAGCATGAGCATGAGCACGAGCACGAGCATGAGCATGAGCATGAGCATGAGCATGAGCATGAGCATGAGCATGAGCATGAGCACGAGCACGAGCATGAGCATGAGCATGAGCATGAGCATGAGCATGAGCATGAGCATGAGCATGAGCATGAGCATGAGCATGAGCATGAGCATGAGCACGAGCACGAGCATGAGCATGAGCATGAGCATGAGCATGAGCATGAGCATGAGCATGAGCACGAGCACGAGCACGAGCATGAGCATGAGCATGAGCATGAGCATGAGCATGAGCATGAGCATGAGCATGAGCACGAGCACGAGCACGAGCACGAGCATGAGCATGAGCATGAGCATGAGCATGAGCATGAGCATGAGCATGAGCATGAGCATGAGCACGAGCACGAGCATGAGCATGAGCATGAGCATGAGCATGAGCATGAGCATGAGCATGAGCATGAGCATGAGCATGAGCATGAGCATGAGCATGAGCACGAGCACGAGCATGAGCATGAGCATGAGCATGAGCATGAGCACGAGCACGAGCACGAGCACGAGCACGAGCATGAGCATGAGCACGAGCACGAGCACGAGCACGAGCATGAGCATGAGCACGAGCACGAGCACGAGCACGAGCATGAGCATGAGCATGAGCACGAGCACGAGCACGAGCACGAGCATGAGCACGAGCACGAGCATGAGCATGAGCATGAGCATGAGCACGAGCACGAGCATGAGCATGAGCACGAGCACGAGCACGAGCATGAGCATGAGCATGAGCACGAGCACGAGCATGAGCATGAGCATGAGCATGAGCATGAGCACGAGCATGAGCATGAGCATGAGCATGAGCATGAGCACGAGCATGAGCATGAGCATGAGCACGAGCACGAGCATGAGCATGAGCATGAGCATGAGCATGAGCACGAGCACGAGCATGAGCATGAGCATGAGCATGAGCATGAGCACGAGCACGAGCATGAGCATGAGCACGAGCATGAGCATGAGCATGAGCACGAGCATGAGCATGAGCATGAGCACGAGCATGAGCATGAGCATGAGCACGAGCATGAGCATGAGCATGAGCGCGGAGAAGAAGAGGAGCAGCGGTCACAGCAGAGACCAGTACGTACCTCGACCGCGCTCGCACCCTCTGCCAACCCATTCATACTTCTGAGGCGCCTCAAAAGAGAAGCAGAGGAGCAGCGGTCACAGCAGAGACCGATACGTACCTCTACCACACTCACATCACACCCGCTGTCAACCCATTCCTACCTGGTGACACCACAGAGGGCGGCAGCAGCGTGAGGATGAGCGCGGAGAAGCAGAGCAGCAGTGTAGCAGCAGTCACAGCAGAGACTAGCACGTACCTCGACCACACTCACACCCTCTGTCAACCCATTCCTACCTGGCGACACCACAGAGGGCGGCAGCAGCGTGAGCATGAGAGCAGAGAAGCAGAGAAGCAGCGACCCTAACAGCTCAAGGCGGAACCCAAGCCACTCCACGGCGCCTCTGCTGCAGAACGCCACGCGTGTGTTGCTGTCCACCCGCGCTGCACTCGTGCACGCGAACCGAGCCTCCTCCCCAAACGCTCGGATCACCGCTGCCCCGGCTAGCGACCTGAGTAGGTGGGGTGTGCGGGGAAAGAGGGGAGGAATTGGGGGCAGAAGAACGGAAGCTGTGCGGGCGAACCGAGCCTCCTCGCCAAACGCTCGGATCACTGCTGCTCTGGCTAGCGACCTGGGTGAGGGGGGGTGGGTGGAAACAGGGGGGTGTTGCAGTCTACACGCGCTCCACTCGTGCACGCGAACCGACCCTCCTCCCCAAACGCTCGGATCACCGCTGCCCCGGCTAGCGACCTGGGTGGGTGGGGTAGTAAAAGTGTTGCCGAGTCTTGTTTTATTGGGTGAGACTGCAAGAGTCATTCAAAGAGGAGTGTCTTGAAACAATAGGATACACTCACTCGCCGCTTCCTGAGTGCCGAAATCGGCTGCTTCCTGCATGCACTCACTCGCGTAGAGAGGGTCTTTTTGAGACGTCTCAAAAACACCCTCTCTATACAAAGCAATAGCATGCACTCACTCGCCGCTTTCTGAGTGCCGAAATTGGCTGCTTCCTGCACTCACTCACTCGCTGAAGTGCTCGATGATCGGAGACTTGGTGACTCCATCCAATCCAATCAAGACACGTGGTCAGGTAGTAGTGCTGCGAGTGACACTCCTAAGAAGGAACTCTAAATAAGAAAGCCGGGCACTGATCATCCATGCACTCACTCGCTGCTTCATCCATGCACTCACTCGCTGCTTCATCCATGCACTCACTCGCTGCTTCATCCATGCACTCACTCGCTGCTTCATCCATGCACTCACTCGCTGCTTCATCCATGCACTCACTCGCTGCTTCATCCATGCCCACTCACTCGCTGCTTCATCCATGCACTCACTCGCTGCTTCATCCATGCACTCACTCGCTGCTTCATCAATGCACTCACTCGCTGCTTCATCCATGCACTCACTCGCTGCTTCATCCATGCACTCACTCGCTGCTTCATCCATGCACTCACTCGCTGCTTCATCCATGCACTCACTCGCTGCTTCATCCATGCACTCACTCGCTGCTTCATCCATGCACTCACTCGCTGCTTCATCCATGCACTCACTCGCTGCTTCATCCATGCACTCACTCGCTGCTTCATCCATGCACTCACTCGCTGCTTCATCCATGCACTCACTCGCTGCTTCATCCATGCACTCACTCGCTGAAGTGCTCGATGATCGGGGACTTGGTAACCCCATCCAGGCGAGAGAGCTCCCTCGTCAGGCATACACGCAGGTTCATCCATCACTCACTATTGATATAGGTGGCTGTTTTCTGCATGCACTCACTCGCTGCTTCATCCATGCACTCACTCGCTGAAGTGTTCAATGATCGGAGACTTGGTGACTCCATCCAAGCGAGAGAGCTCCCTAGAAGTTGTCAGATAGTACTCCTGGGGGACGGAGAGAGACACGTGGCATGCAGGCATTGGATGAGATGGGAGGTGCTGCTATGTAGGCAGGTAGGTACTAGGCGGCACTTGTGCAGAACAACAGACACTCGGCATGCAGGCAAGGAGTGAATGCAAGGAGTGAGTGCAACAAGTGCTCACCCGGTATGAAAAGCAGAAAAGTAAGTGAGGGGCACGATGGCAAACAGCACCGGTTTTGAGGCGCCTCAAAACTAGAAAAGCAGAAAAGTAAGCGAGGGGCACGATGGCAAACAGCACCGGTTTTGAGGCGCCTCAAAACTAGAAAAGCAGAAAAGTAAGCGAGGGGCACGATGGCAAACAGCACCGGTTTTGAGGCGCCTCAAAACTAGAAAAGCAGAAAAGTAAGCGAGGGGCACGATGGCAAACAGCACCGGTTTTGAGGCGCCTCAAAACTAGAAAAGCAGAAAAGTAAGCGAGGGGCACGATGGCAAACAGCACCGGTTTTGAGGCGCCTCAAAACTAGAAAAGCAGAAAAGCAAGCGAGGGGCACGATGGCAAACAGCACCGGTTTTGAGGCGCCTCAAAACTAGAAAAGCAGAAAAGTAAGAGAGGGGCGCGATGGCAAACAGCACCGGTTTTGAGGCGCCTCAAAACTAGAAAAGCAGAAAAGTAAGCGAGGGGCACGATGGCAAACAGCACCGGCCACGTGATGAAAGAGGTGCAAGAAACGAGTGGTTACTGGGTTACACAAGGAGTGAGCAAAAGGAGTGCTCACTTGATAGGAGAAGTGGAAGTAAGCGAGGGGCACGATAGAGAAGAGAACAGGCCACGTGATGAAGGAGGTGACTGAGAGGATGGAGCATGAGAGAAATGAGCGGTTACCACTCGACAGCAAACAGCGGTAACCTACCTGGTAAGAGAAGTAGAAGTAAGCGAGGGACACGATGGCAAAGAGCACCGGCCACTTGATAGAAGAGGTGCAATGAGCAAGTGGTTACAGGGTTACAGAAGGATAGCAAGGAGTGCTCACCTGGTATGAGAAGTAGAAGTACGCGAGGGGCACGATGGCGAAGAGCACAGGCCACGTGATGAAGGAGGTGACTGAGAGGATTCCGAGCAGCTGGAAGAGAAGCGAAAGGACGGTGCCGAAGCGGAACGGGAGGTCTAGATCCACAGTTGCTTGGTCTGTTGACGCCTGTGGGCGGGAGGAGGGAGGAGAGATGGGGGACGAGGGAGGAGGGAGGAGGGAGGAAGGATTAGGAGTGAGGGATTTAGGAGGAGGGATAAAGGTCTACACAACCCGATTAACAGCACAGCACCGCAATACAAAGTTACAAACCACTCTGCACCACTCACCCGGGAAAGCACTCGCCCTGCGGGAGTGGAGTCAAAGAAACTCATGGGCGCTCGGAACACAGCGTGCAGCATGAGGGCGAAGAGGGCTTGAGCCGTCTCCCACCCCATCCAGGACACTGCCACCGTGCGCAGCAGCACAAAGAGCACACTGCCCAGCGCCAACAGCACGTTCTCCTGTTCACTTACCACTATATTTACCTGGACTCACCGCACTGCACCGCAACACTGATTGCCCTGCACCACTCACCCGGGAAAGCACTCGCCCTGCGGGAGTAGAATCAAAGAAGCTCATGGGCGCCCGGAACACAGCGTGCAGCATGCGGGCAAAGAGGGCCTGAGCCGTCTCCCAGCCCATCCAGGACACTGCCACCGTGCGCAGCAGCACAAAGACCACACTGCCCAGCGCCAACAGCACGTAAGATTCACCACACAGCACACCATGCTAACCGCAGGACACCGTCACCGTGCGCAGCAGCACAAAGACCACACTGCCCAGCGCCAACAGCACGTAAGATTCACCACACAGCACACCATGCTAACCGCAGGACAACGTCACCGTGCGCAGCAGCACAAAGACCACACTGCCCAGCGCCAACAGCACGTACACTCCTGGATTCACCGCACGCACACCAATACCAACCGCACTGCACCACTCACCGGCAGCAGCACAAAGAGCACACTGCCTAGTGCCAGTAGCACGTACACCTCCTGGATTCACCGCACGCACACCAATACCAACCGCACCGCACCACTCACCCGGGAAAGAACTCTTCCGGCTGGAGTGGAGTCAAAGAAACTCATGGGCGCCCGAAACACAGCGTGCAGCATGTGGGAAAAGAGGGCCTGGGCCGTCTCCCACCCCATCCAGGACACTGCCACCGTTCTCAGCAGCACAAAGAGCACACTGCCCAGCGCCAACAGCACGTATACCCGCAGAAAGCCCACTGGGGTGATAGATGGAGCTAGCAGGTCGACGGGGGAAGATGAGGGGGAGGAGTGGGGTAGGGACGAGGGAGAGGTGGTGGAGGAGGAGGAGGAGGAGGAGGAGGAAGAGGAGGGGAAGAAAGAGGAGGAGGAAAACGAGGAGGAGGAGGATGTATAGGTGGCAAGCCACCAATCAGAGCCGATCTGCAGCGTCTGCCAGAGGATCTGGACCAATAGGAGCGCGGGGATGGGCCAGAATCCGAGGGCTGTGGTGAGATACGCCCAGTACACTGCAAAGGCCACACGGCCTGATGACCTCTCCTCTTCGTTTATCAGCTGTCCTGTCCTTGCCTTCGTACCACTCTCCTTGTTCCTTCGCCTTCTGCTGCTGCGACCACTGCCATTGCCGTGCTTCTGTGGCTTGTCTGACTCCTCGTCTTGCCACTCAACCACCCTTACTTCCGCTCCCTCTTCTTGCTTCCCTTTCCCTCGGTCACCTCGTGACGCCCGCCCCACATCAGATGTAGCAGAATGGGTGGAGGAGGGACGGGTGAGAGGGGCAGAGGAGGACGAGGAGGAGGAGGGAGTAGGAGAACCTGCATCCGCCGAGGCAGGTGCAGCTTTAGAAGCAGATGAGGCAGATTTCGCAGCAGCAGCAGCATCACCATCACCAGCAGCACTAGCACCAGCAGCACTAGCACCAGCAGCAGAGGGAGCATCGGTGGTGGTGGTGTTGGCAAGGGAGTGCATGGCATGGGTGTGAGCGTCCACAAGGGAGGAGAAGTCCGTTCCCTGCGCCAGCAGCTCCTCATACCGCCCACTCTGCACGATGCGCCCCTCCCTCATCACCTGTGTGTGCGGGGAGGAGGAGTGGGGAGGAGAGGGTCAGAGGGGCAGTGGCATGTTGGCAACAGCGCAAGAGCCAGCAGCAGCGGTGGAGGTGGCAGCAAGGCAGTGCATGGCAACGCTATGAGCGTCCACGAGGGAGGAGAAGTCCGTTCCCTCCGCCAACAGGTCCTCATACCGCCCACTCTGCACAATACACCCCTCCCTCATCACCTGTGTGTGGGAAGGAGAGGGTCAGAGGGGCAGTGGCATGTTGGCAACAGCGCAAGAGCCAGCAGCAGCAGTGGAGGTGGCAGCAAGGCAGTGCATGGCACCGGTGTGAGCATCCACGAGGGAGGAGAAGTCTGTTCCCTGCGCCAGCAGCTCATTATACCGCCCACTCTGCACAATGCGCCCCTCCTTCATCACCTGTGTGTGTGAGGGGAGGGGGGGGAAGGGGAGCAAGTGAAGGGAAAAATCCAGCAACTGATCATACCGCCCACTCTGCACGATGCGCCCCTCCTTCATCACCTGTGAGGGGGGAGGAGGGGGGAGGAGGGGGGAGGAGGGGGGAGGAGGGGGGAGGATGGGGTTGGGGCAGGGCGGAGATTTAAAGCGGCAGTATACATTTGGCAGGGCCTGAGCCAAAAGTTTATAAATGGTACTTCTGCTGGGGCGAAATCGTTTTGGGAACCCTAAACCCTCCAACGGCCCTGCCAAATGTATACTGCCGCTTTAAGGGGCGGAGATGAATAAAATCCAGGTGGCCCCTCATTTTAGGGGCGGAGAGGAATGAGGTCCTTGATTGGCTGGCAGGAAACCCACCTGGTGCGTAAATTGTTGACTTGAAAGTCAGCAGAATCGAATTCTTCAACCAAGTCAACCAAGTCAAAAGAGTCAACGGATTCAGTCAAGGGGCGGCACCAGAATGAGGCGCACGGCTGGCTTGGCTTGGCAGGTAGGAAGGCCACCTGGTGGGTCACCACCAGGCTGTGTTTTGAGTCGGCTCGTGTTTTGAGTCGGCTCGTGTTTTGAGTCGTGTTTTGAGTCGTGTTTTGAGTCGACTCAAAACACGACTCACCTGGTGGGCCACCACCAGGCTGCCAACATGCTCAAATCAATCAAATGAGTCAACTAAGTCAACCAGGTCAACGGGGTTATGCGAGAGGCATTACCAGAATGAGGTCCATCGCCGGCAGGAAGTCCACCTGGTGTGTCACCAGGCTGTTGACAGTGAACAGAATCAAATCCTTCAACCAAGTCAACAGAGTCCACCAGGTCAACGGGTTCAGGTGAAAGGGAGTACCAGAATGAGGTCCATGGCAGGCAAGAAGTCCACCTGGTGCGTCACCAGGATAACAGTCTTCCCTGCCAAGCCCCTCAACACACACTCCTGCCAACACGAGAGGGGAGGAAGGAAGGGGCAGCGAGGGGGGAGTGGGAAGGTGGGAATGAGGTTCATGGCCGGCTGGAAGTCCACCTGGTGCGTCACCAGGATGACAGTCTTCCCTGCCAAGCCCCTCAACACACACTCCTGCCAACACGAGAGGGGAGAGGTGGGGTTAGGGAGGAGAGGGGGGGATTGAAATTCAAAAAGAGATTCTCTCAGAATGCCAGTCCTCCCACCCAGCTAGGCCCCTCAGGATACGACACATCGCCGCCAGTGGGGCCAATTGCAGACAGGTATTCATGTTCGCAGTGAGAGAACTGGGTGGAAGAACGAGAGGAGAATGATGGGGATTTATGTTTGTGGGGGAGAGATGGACGGCCGGAGTGGATAGCTCACACTGGATAAGGGGTACTGGTAGGGCACTGTAACAGTGAAGCAGGCAACTCACAGTGAAGAGCTGCGAGGTGACTTTTGAGTCGACTCAATAGATGGACGGAGGGAGTGGATAAGGGGTACTGGTAGGTATTGTAACAGTGAAGCAGGCAACTCACAGTGAAGAGCTGCGAGCCACTCTGATCATCCACAGCGCTGAACGGATCATCCGACAGTCATGCTTTGAGACGTGTCACTCACAACGCAGACAACACAAACAGCACACAGTCACTCTCACAGTACGGTTGTGCAAGGGGAAGACTCACAGTGAAGAGCTGCGAGCCAGTGTGAGCATCCACGGCACTGAACGGATCGTCCAATAGAAACACCTCCGCTCCTCCATTTTCCTCCGCCCTCTCCCCCTGCTTCCCTCCTGCTCCTCCATCTCTCATCCCTCCGCCCATCCCTTCTCCCCCACCTTCCTCTCCCCCAGTTCCCCCAATTACAGTTCCCCCTCCCCCGTCTCCCCCTCCCCCCGCATACATGGCTCGGGCCAGCTGTATCCTCTGCTTCTGCCCGCCACTCAGATTCACCCCTCTCTCGCCTATCTGTGTGTCGTCCCCGTGGGCCAGCAGTGCCAGGTCCGGCTGTAGCGCGCACTGCTGCAGCACCCGGCTGTAGCGCGCCCGGTCCTCGGGCTGCCCGAAAAGAATGTTGTCGCGCACGGTGGCGTTCTGGATCCATGCGGACTGGGGCACGTAGGCCGTGCGGCCTGCTAAGGTGACCTGGAATGCCATAACAGAATGGCAGAGAGGTGGGGGAGAAAGGTCAACGTGGGGAAGAGGGTGAGAAAGGAGTGGCGTTCTGGATCCATGCGGACTGCGGCACGTAGGCCGTACGGCCCACTGTGGTGACCTGGAACACTAAAATGTGGGGAGGTGGGGGAGAAGAGAGGTCAACGTGGGGAAGAGGGTGTGGTGGAGGTGGCGTTCTGGATCCATGCGGACTGGGGCACGTAGGCCGTACGGCCCACTATGGTGACCTGAATATGGCGGAATCGGGAAGAGGTGCGCGGAAGATGGCGAAGAGGGTGGGGGAGAGAGAAAGGTCAACGTGGGGAGAAGTGGCGTTCTGGATCCATGCGGACTGTGGCACGTAGGCTGCGCGACCCACTGTGGTGGCCTGAATATGCAAGGGAGGTGGGTAAGCGAGAAGCGCGGAGAGGAAAGGTTGTGGGGAAAAGGGTGGGGAAATGATAGCATTCTGGACCCATGCGGACTGGGGCACGTAGGCCGTGCGACCCGCTAGGGTGCCCTGGAAATGGACGAACGGGGGAGACATGGCAAGGTAGGGTACTTGATGTAAGCAAGTAGGCCGTGCGACCCACTATGGTGACTTGGAGATGGAAGGGGTAGCGGAGACATGGAGGGGAGGGGAGGGTGTTTGATAGAAGGATGTGTGCATGAAGGCGTATGTGAATTTGCCTTCCGTATGGGACGCCCCACAGGTGATAAATGAAAGGACAGATGGTTCAGTGAGTCTATTTTTGAGGCGCCTCAAAGAAGGCGTATATGAATTTGCCTTCCATATGGAACGCCCCACAGGTGATAAAAAGGACAGATGGTTCAGTGAGGGGGTTGATCGGGGGCTGCTGTAAGGAGGGCGCTGTTGTTTGATGAGGCTGGCCGCTGGCATGGCGTCACATCTCACCTCTTTTTGTTTGGGGTTGACATTGAGAATTCTCAAAATCAACCTCAAACAAAATGGGCTGATGTAAGGAGGGCGCTGTTGTTTGATGAGGCTGGCATGGCGTCACATCTCACTTCTCACCTTGCCTCTCATCTTGGGCATCTCCCCTAGAAGACACGCCAGCAGGCTCGACTTGCCCACCCCTGCTGCTTTTGAAGACTTTAGAGCACACGTGCAACAGGGAAACATCTCACTTCTCACCTTGCCTCTCATCTTGGGCATCTCCCCTAGAAGACACGCCAGCAGGCTCGACTTGCCCACCCCTGCTGCTTTTGAAGACTTTAGAGCACACGTGCAACAGGGAAACATCTCACTTCTCACCTTGCCTCTCATCTTGGGCATCTCCCCTAGAAGACACGCCAGCAGACTTGACTTGCCCACCCCCACTGCTCCGCACACAGCCACCCTCATCCCCTTTTTAATCTCCAACTCGATTCCATACAGCGTCGGCTTGCTAGCATCCCCCTCCCAGCTGAACACACCATCCTGCACCCGCACCACCACATCTAATGGCAGGCCAGTATCAGCCAAGCCATCATCCCCTAACCCATCCCTCATTCCAAAGCTTCCCGCCTTGTCTGCCCCGCTCTCCTTTGCCCTCAATTCCTCCCTTCCTTTGCTCCTTTTCCCCGGCCCTCCCTTCAGCCCATCCACTCGAGCCACAGCATCGGCCTGGATTTCTTCCTCCAGGAGAAAAGAGGTGACTCGCTTGAGTGACACCATGGCCTGTGCTAGAGCCGCCACCACCGAGGGGAACGAGCGCAGAGGCTCCTGTAAATGGGAAGGGGAGAGGGAGGGGGAGGGTGGAGGGGGGTGGCGAAAGGGAGATTTTTGAGGCGCCTCAGTACGCGTGTCACAGCATCGGCCTGAATTTCCTCTTCTAGAAGGAAGGTGGTGACTCGCTTGAGCGACACCATGGCTTGCACAAGAGCCGCTACCACCAAGGGTGAACGATCGCAGAGGCTCCTGTAAGAAAAAGGGGGACGGGGGTAGGGAAGTGCGGAAGGTGTGAAGGGAGAGTGTTGAGGCGCCTCTCCACTCGTGTCACAGCGTCACCATCCAGGAGGAAGATGGCCTTTTCCTTTTCCTCCCGGAAGGTTAGGATAATCACACCTTTTTTTTCCTAACCTCTCCCCCTCACACTTCCCCATGCGTATCCACCCACTAACCTGCAAAATGCGAAAGGTGGCAATGGCTGTGAAAACAGCCCCGGGGGGGTGAGCGGCACACCCACCCATGCCCCACTATAGCAGTAAGTAAGGAACCCCAACCCAATTCTCCCCCTTCCCCCACCCCCCCCTCTTAAACTCCTTTTCACATCCCCTCACCTGCAGAATGCGAAAGGTGGCGATGGCAGTGAAAACAGCCCCGGGGGTGAGCCGCACACCCACTACCACCATTGCAGTAAGAACAAAACCCCTACTCCAATGTACTCCCCTCCACCCCCCCACTCCCCCCGCGGATTCCTCCTTTCCCCGTCCCCTCACCTGTAGGATGCGGAAGGTGGCAATGGCAGTGAAGACAGCCCCGGGGGTGAGCGGCACACCCACAAGCACCATGGCAGTACGAACGGAGACCCAGCCCCGATTTCCCCCTACCATAAAGTCCTCTCTTTCCCATTCCCCCTCACCTGCAGAATGCGGAAGGTGGCAATGGCAGTGAAGACAGCCCCGGGGGTGAGCGGCACACCCACGAGCACCATGGCACCAAAGGTCCCCACCGACACGGCCAGAGGCGACAGCCACAGCAGACAGATGTTTGCCGCCCCTATCGCCATGTACCTGGGGGGATGGGGGAGTGGAGTGGGCGGATGGGCGATGGGGGAAGGAGGGGAGAGCAGGACAGTGGGGGGTGAGCGGCACACCCATGAGCACCATGGGTGGATGGGGGATAGGGGATGGGGAGAGAGGGGGGACAGGGGGATATGGGGGGCAGTGGGGGGTGAGCGGCACACCCATGAGCACCATGGGTGGATGGGGGATAGGGGATGGGGAGAGAGGGGGGACAGGGGGATATGGCGGGCAGTGGGGGGTGAGCGGCACAACCACGAGCACCATGGGTGGATGGGGGATAGGGGATGGGGAGAGAGGGGAGACAGGGGGATATGGGGGGCAGTGGGGGGTGAGCGGCACACCCACGAGCACCATGGCACCAAAGGTCCCCACCGACACGGCCAGAGGCGACAGCCACAGCAGACAGATGTTGGCCGCCCCTATCGCCATGTACCTGGGGGGATGGGGGGATGGGGGGGATTGGAAGAATGAAGGGAAGAGGGGGGACAGGGGGATATGGGGGACAGTGGGGGGTGAGAGCGGCGCATTCATGAGCACCATGGCACCAAACGTGCCCACCGACACGGCCAGATGCTAGAGCCACAGCAGACAGATGCTGGCCGCCCCTATCGCCATGTACCTGAGGGGACGGGGGGGCGGTTGGGAAGGTTGGGTATCGCGAGCAGCACAATAGCCAGCCAGCCAACCCCTCAGCTTCCCCCGACTCATACCTGGCCAGCCAGCCGGCCTCAGCACCGCCTTGTTAGGCGCCTCAAAAGTTGGGTATCGGCAGCAGCACAATAGCCAGCCAACCAGCCCCTATGCTCCCCACCCAACACATACCTGGCCAGCCAGCCGGCCTCAGCGCCCCTGAGAGATTTGATTTGGTTCTCGAAGAAGGGCTGCCAGGCGTAGAGCTTGATGACCCGCATGGAGGAGAGCGCCTCCGACATGGCCTTCATGCGGCGGTCCTTGGCTTTAAGGATGTGCCCCACTGTGGGTGGTGTGGCCCCCCTCCTTCTTTCCCTCGATACATACATACCTGGCAAGCCAGCCTGCCTCAGATCCCCGCAGCAAGTGAAACCATCTCTGAAGCGCCTCAAAAACCCCTCCTCTTTCCCAGGAGATTACCTGGCCAGCCAGCCGGCCTCAGCGCCCCTGAGAGATTTGATTTGGTTCTCGAAGAAGGGCTGCCAGGCGTAGAGCTTGATGACCCGCATGGAGGAGAGCGCCTCCGACGTGGCCTTCATGCGGCGGTCCTTGGCTTTAAGGATGTGCCCCACTGTGGGTGGTGTGGCCCCCCTCCTTCTTTCCCTCGATACATACATACCTGGCAAGCCAGCCTGCCTCAGATCCCCGCAGCAAGTGAAACCATCTCTGAAGCGCCTCAAAAACCCCTCCTCTTTCCCAGGAGATTACCTGGCCAGCCAGCCGGCCTCAGCGCCCCTGAGAGATTTGATTTGATTCTCGAAGAACGTTTGCCAGGCGTAGAGCTTGATGACCCGCATGGAGGAGAGCGCCTCCGACGTGGCCTTCATGCGCCGGTCCTTGGCTTTAAGGATGCGCCCCACTGTGGCACGTAGAGAGGCCGCTATGAGGAGGTTCAGCAGCAGCGCCGCCACCATCACTGCCAGCCCCGCCACCATGCTCGCCCCCACCACCTGGGATAAGGGGAGCGGGGATGGGGGAGGGGGAGAGGGGGGAAAGGCGGGGGACGGGAGTACGGGAGAGGAGTAGGTGAGGAGTGGAGGAGGGAGGGGAGGAGGGGAGTAGGAGTGAGTGCCTCCGACGTGGCCTTCATGCGGCGGTCCTTGGCTTTAAGGATGCTCGCCACTGTGGCGCGTAGTGAGGCCGTTATGAGGAGGTTCAGCAGCAGCGCTGCCACCATCACTGCCAGCCCCGCCACCATGCTCGCCCCCACCACCTGGGAGGGTTTCGGGTTTTTAACTTAATTTAGGGATAAATGGTCGTGGTGGGAGCGGCTACCTACTACCACCATGACTGCCAGCCACGCCCCCACTATGCTCGCACCCACCACCTGGAAGGGATTCGGGTTAGGGTTTGAGGTTAGGGATCAAGTAAGAGGTTCAGGTTTAATGTCGGGTTTTAGACTTCAGGTTTAGGTTTGGGTTTAGGTTTCGAGTAGCGTTGAAGGGAGAGATGGCTGTGGAGGGGGTTTCTGCTGCCATCCCTGCCTGCCTTGCCATGCCACCATGTCCGCTACCACCACCTCGGAGGAGGAGGGAGGAGGGAGTGGCGGATGGGAGGAGGGGAGAGACGCTTGAGAAGGGAAGGTTGGCAGTGAAAGCTACTTACTGAGCTGAAGGAGAGAAGAGCGCCTGAGAGAGCGGTTGAGAGCCACTGCAGATTGGAGAGAGGTGGGGATGAGGTGTGCCCATCCGCCTACGTGCTAGTATGTATTGAGGCACATTAATGAATTTGTTCTGAGTGGTCTCAAAACAGCTTCAGTATCAGGCGTGCGTATCTGGACCGCCTACACGTGCGTTTTTTTTTTCTTCTTCTTCTTCTTCTTCTTCTTCTTCTACTTCTTCTTCCTGGGACGCATTAAGAGTCTTTCTTACGTGGAAGAGGATGAGGAGGGCGATGGAGATCTGCAGGGGCAGCACCCACACGTTGTGCAGCTGCAGCATGAGGTCTGCCAAGCGCTGCACGTCTGTGGACATGTAGTTCACCACCTCGCCCACTGTGTGCCGCTGCTTCGCCCTGCTGGATAGTTGCAAGCCTTTCTTATACAGAGCACCTACTAGCGCTGCTCGTATTTCCAGACCCAGGGCCTGTGTGCGGAAGGCAAAGCAGGGAAAGAAGAAAGGGGAGGCAGTGGAGAGAGAGGAAGGAGAGGGAGGAAAGAGGGTTTGGGAAGCCAGTGAAACCACAAGTCAGCCAGAGGCAGCCAATCGCTGCACGTCAGTGGACATGTAGTTCACCACCTCGCCCACCGTGTGCCGCTGCTTCGCCCTGCTGGATAGGCGCAGGCCCTTGTGGTAGAGGGCTCCTACCAGCGCTGCTCTGATGTCCAAACCCAGGCCTGGAAGGGGGAGAGAGAGGGGAAAGCTGCTGATGCGTCAAGTCAGCCAGAGGCAAGCGCTGCACGTCAGTGGACATGCATGTAGTTCACCACCTCGCCCACCGTGTGCCGCTGCTTCGCTCTGCTCGACAGCCGCAGGCCTTTATGATACAGAGCACCTACTAGCGCTGCTCGAATGTCCAGACCCAGGGCCTGTTGGGGGGGGTATCAGGAAAAACAGAGGAGACAGAGAGAGGCGAGCAAGGAGATGACGGAGAGAGTGGAGAGAGGAAAGGGGACACGGAAGCTGGTCAAGTCAGTCAGAGCCAGGCGCTGCAAGTCAGTGGGCACAACCCTCCTAAAGGGAGCACAACCGCACCCAGCCCCTCACCTGAGCCTGGAAGTTGTACTGGTGCCCCACGGCCATCTCTGTTGCTTTATCCAGCAGCAGCAGCGCCACGAGCGCCACGCCCATTCAAGTCAGCACGGTGCTTTCCAATCAATAATGAACCCCCATACAGCCACCCTCCTAAGAGGGCACACAGGACAGCCTCACCTGAGCCTGGAAGTTGTACTGGTGCCCCACGGCCGTCTCTGTTGCTTTGGCCAGCAGCAGCAGCGCCACCAGCGCCACGCCCTCGCCTTCAAACCGCTGCTTGCCCGCAGCGACGTCCACAAAGCGGGAGAGCAGCAGCGGGCCCGCATACATCACCGCACACTTGAGCAGCACCAGTAGGCCCGTGGCGAGGAGGAGGAGGCCCCAACCCTACTACTGCGTACCCAACCAACCAACCAACTGTACCTGAGCCTGGAAGTTGTACTGGTGCCCCACCGCCGTCTCTGTTGCTTTAGCCAGCAGCAGCACGACCACGAGCGCCACGCCCTCGCCTTCATACCACTGCTTGCCCGCAGCAACGTCCACAAAGCGGGAGAGCAGCAGCGGGCCCGCATACATCACCGCACACTTGAGCAGCACCAGTAGGCCCGTGGCTAGGAGGGGGCGCCAGAAGCAGGCGAGTAATGCACGGGCTACCGAGGGCGTTTTGTTGCTGGTGATTCTGCTGATGCTGCTGCTGATGCTGTTGATTGAGCTGGTGATGAAGCGGGGGAGAACGGAGGAGCTGTGCTGCTGCTGATTCTGCAGCTGCGGTTGCTTGTGCCCGTGCTGCTGCTGGTGATGGGTTTCTAGCAGTGGAGTCGAGATGGTGGCATCAGCGACACCAGTGCCACCAGCAGCAGTAGTATCAGCAGCAGCACTGCTAGCAGCCGCACTGCCAACAGCAGCAGTGGTACCCCCAGCAGCAGCAGTACCTGCAGTGAGTGCAAGCTGCATCTGCCAGCACGCATCAAAGGCACGGAACATGGCCTCACAGCCCTGAGAAGCTGGCAGGCAAGGCACGTCCTCTAGTGAAATCACATGCTGCTTCTGATAATCCCTTGGTTCCAACTCGCTGCTGTGGCTATCCCGCTGCTGCTGCTGCAGCTGCTGCTGCTGCTGCTGTTGCTGTAGCAGCAGGTTCTGGTTTCCGGTTTCGAGAAGAGGAGAGACCCAGGAGAAGGCGAGGTGAGACAGCCAACTGGCACTGGCGTACGGAGAATCAGACTCATTGTTCTTCTCAGAACGGATGCTCCTGCTTCCCTCTTGCTTGCCCGATTCCATCTCATATCCGCCATCCTCACTAGTATCAGACTCGTTGTCCTCTTCAGAGCCGCTTTCGTCGTCAATCGTAAGCAAAGCGCTCCCATTCCGCACCCCGTTTTCCAATCCCTCGTCATTCTTTATCTCCAGCTCCTCACCATCCTCCAGTTGCTCCCTCTCATCCTTCTCTTCACCCTCTCCTCCTCCTCTCTCCCCTCTGGGTCTCTCTCCCATCCCTCGGTCCAAACGAGCCCAGCCAGGCCTTCCCAGCACACCAACCACTCCCAAGAAAAGAGCCAATGGCAAGCTGCCAAGTGTCAGGAAATCGCTCCACGCTGTCACCTTTTCCTCCTTCCAATCTCCAACTCCCAACCCCACACCGGGTCCCACACCAGCCCCCATACCAGCCCCCAAACCAGATCCCAAACCGGATCCCGAACCGGATCCCGAACCAAATCCCTCCGCAAAGTCCCTCCCTTGGGCTTTGCTCCAGAGGCGGAGCACAATCACCATCGACAGCACCAGCATGAGCACCGCGTTCGGAAACAGCCAGGCCCGCGCCGACCCAACCACTGTGGCATCTCGTCTTCTCTGGAAGAGCAGCAGGACTGCTGCTGCCAGCACGTATGTGACTGCCTGCCCTGCTGCGTATGCCAACTCATGAGGTGGTGCAAGAGCGAGGCCTGCTGCCGAAAAGGAAGAGAGTATCTCCCATATAAGCAGCCCCGCCCAGCAGATAGAAGCAGCGACAGAGAGAAGGAGCTCCGGCCAGAACAGGAGCCCTGCACGCCACACCTCTCCTCTATTCTGAATCTGATCCCTGGCTTCCCACCGTTCCTCTCCTCCCTCCCGCTTCCCACCTTCCCTGCCTTGCCTCCGTTCCTTCAGTCTCCTCTCACCCCTCTCCACCGGACCTGCTGGTCTCTCCCCACCATTCTGTGCTCTACGGGGCTGGCTGTCTGGCTTGGCACTAGGTTCGGGATTAGGTTTGGGAAGGATGAGTATGTGGGAGAGGGTGGCGAGGAGGAGGAAGGAGGAGAGGAAGAGGAAGGAAGCGTGTTGAAGGCAGGGGGAGAGAGAGAAGGTATGGATCCATTTGGGCAGAAAACTTTCTTTGCCTGCCCGTTGGAACGATGATGAAATTTGCTCGAGGGAGCTCCAGGGAAGGGGGGAGGAGGGGTGGAGGAACGAAAGGGAAGTATCCGGGGAAAATGGGTGGAGCTGCTGCTGATGTGGCATGAGGAGATGGTGCCACGTGGGATTAGTGAGTGCAGGTGGGGGTACAGATGGCTGCACGGGATGAATGGAGGAAGAGTTCGAAGAGGAGAAAGAGGAGGAGGAATCCTGGACGTGGTTACTTCGAAAGGGTGTGAAACCGGATGGTGATACTGCCGATGCCACGAGAGTCTGTGGGACATTGTGCAGTTGTCTGATTTGCTGGCTGTGACTGAAGAGAGGGTTGCCGCTGATGCAGGCTGGAGTGTACGGGTCGTTTGGGCCACAGAAGCTGGCCCAGAATGCTGCAAAAACAGGAGGGAGGGGGGTTGAAGAGAGGAGACACCGTTCAGGCTGGCTGTGACTGGAGAGAAGGTTGCTGCTGATGCACGCTGGACTGTACGGGTTGTTCAACGGCTAAAGAGTTTCGTGATTTGGACTGAACGAGAGTGGGAAGGATAGTGGGGAGTTGACAGTTTGACAAATGGGTTTCCGCAGGGGATCGAAATGGTAGCGACACACCCATGCCTGCTATGCTGAGTCATGCCAAAATGTCTGCATCATGCCGAGTTACTTGATCATGCCAGAACCTAAATGCACCATGCCCGACCTACTGCATGATCCCAAAAGTACAGCATGATCCCAGATTCCAAGACCTACTGCCTGGTGCCAGACCTACTGCCTGATGCCAGAACTACTGCCTGATGCCAGACCTACTGCCTGATGCCAGACCTACTGCCTGATCCCAGACCTACTGCCTGATGCCAGACCTACTGCCTGATGCCAGACCTACTGCCTGATGCCAGACCTACTGCCTGATCCCAGACCTACTGCCTGATGCCAGACCTACTGCCTGATGCCAGACCTACTGCCTGATGCCAGACCTACTGCATGATGCCAGACCTACTACATGATGCCAGACCTACTGCATGATCCCATACCTACTACATGATCCCAGACCTATTATATGATCCCAGACCTACTGCATGATCCCAGACCTACTGCATGATCCCAGACCTACTGCATGATGCCAGACTTACTGCATGATGCCAGACCTACTGCATGATGCCAGACCTACTGCATGATCCCAGACCTACTGCATGACCCCAGACCTGCTGCATGATCCCAGACCTAATGCATGATCCCGGACCTACTGCACGATCCCAGACCTACTGCATGATCCCAGACCTACTGCATCATGGGTCTCACATCCGTTTGTGGTCCAGCCAGGGCCAGTGGCCAGGGAGAAGAGGAGCGAGGTGACGAGCATGTGAGCACCAGTCAGCAAGCTTTGCCCACCACCACCAGCACCAGCAGTAGCGGCAGCAGCAGCCGAAGCAGCAGCCATCTGCAGGAGGGTTGATAAATAGCGCGTGACGTCATCACTCGAGCGTGGGAATATAAGAATACTACAAGTGTGGTTGTGTTTGTGTATATGTAGTCAACATAATGTGGTTGTGCAGTCAGCATTTTTCTGCATCAAGTACTTGGTGAGAAACAAGAGGTGATACAGCCAATACTAAAAATACATCATTCTTGAAGCAGAATCCGTACTCTTTATTGTGTGCTGTAATTCCGTCTCTAAATTGAAACTCTTACCTTGCTAAAATTGTTCCTGAACGTCTGAGTAATGAAATCCGTAACTGGAATTTCTCCCGAGATTTCCTTCTGCGTTTCTCGCAGACCACAGAATTTAGCGAGATCATTCAAGAAATGTATTACTGTGACGGTAGTGTGAAAGCTTCAGCAGGACTCTGCAGCAAACGGATAAATTCACAGCCCAAGGAAGGAACGCGATCAACTATTAATAGTACTGCTTTCCTCACTCGTATCACGGAACATAATAAATGTTCGTCCCTAGACTCTACCCGCTCTATCAGCTGCCATTATACCGTAGCGCTCAACCGACTCTTCCCCGCGTCAATCCATGGTTGATTTCTCTCAGAGCTAGTGAAATAGGCACAGGGGCTGCACGGTTGGATTTCTTCACATATGGTGTGGAGCGTCCTCAAGTTCAGGAATCAGTGGTAGATCATGTGCGACAGTAACCACAAGTGCGAAGCTCCTCAACGAAAATCGCATGCACAAGCCCCGGATGCTTGGCTTTCAGATATTTCGCCGAGGCATTGCCTCCGAACCGAATGACTACGATTTTGCGTTGACGGAAAATATCCTGGCACTGCATCTGGGAACAGAGCTTGAAGTCGGTTAAGTGCGGCAGAATGTGGTGACACGAGCCACTACTTCTTTATAGCCTTACGTATTAAAACTACAAAACCACTTCCTCTGGTTGACTCGGTTTCCCTCTGTAAACATGAACTCAGAATGAACATTAAAATCTCGTTGTTAGGAGATTATGCATGTTTGCTCCTATGTACTTCTTTGTAAAATACATTAACAACTTCAACACAATCAAAGCTGTGCTGGTGGGAACAATACAGATGCATCCGCATGGAATCTCTATGTTGCATCTGGATTGTTCCTACCATCATGAGCTCACAAAGAACCTAGTATTTTCACTGAATCGCCCTACCCCAAAAGCACCCTATAATTTCCTGAAAAATCAAGAGGTAGCATACCGTACGAAGCATTGGAGAGAGCCACACTTCAACACCCGCAGTTTCATTCCAAGCGCCGTTGAGGTAGTTGCTGAAGGCGGTCGCAAATCCTCAGTTCTCCAGTATTTACGCTGAATGCACCCATTGTTCCGCGTGCAGCAATGAGAGGGAGCGAGCCGTAGTTTTCCGCTACCAGAAGCAGTACCGCGCTCGCCTCTCAAGCAGCGATAGCACCTGACGCGTTCGCGCTGACTACTGCGACAGTTTAGATGGAATGCGACACGCTGACGAATGAGACACTCAGAGTTATTAACACGCATCGCCGTGGCATTGCATCCTCAGTGAATTTAGCACCACAGACGTGGGGATAATAACACGACGCGGGGAAACGACAGATGAAACGGGGTCCCATTCGACGGCAGAAAGCCTGGCTTTGCGCGGGATCTTCAAAGGGTGTCGCGTTGCCGTGACCGTGAATGTCGATTCCGCTACATTGGACCCCACAACGAGCGGCGCAGCGACATTAACCTTCACAGTGCCGTTGAAATCCGCAACGGTGATGTTCAGAAGCTCAGTGAATTTGCCAGCGGCGTCTACGCTACTAGTAGTTGCGGTTGCTGCCCGTGCTCGCTCGACCTTTTCCTTGACACCTGCCGCGTCGAACGATGAAACTTCGGGCGTGAGAGGAGACTCGCGATCGGGAAATATGGGGCTGACTTGGAAGTCCGCTGCCTGTGCCCGCTCGCTATCTTCCTTGACAGCTGTCGTGTCGA